TCTTCTATATAATTAATATTACAGTCTGCCCTACAAAACTAATTTGAAGCAAATTGCGCCACAAGCGACAACATCTCAAAGGAGAGAAAAATCAATAAGATGATTAAAACACGAGAACTGCCCACGCGACACGCGACCTTTGATGTTGCTTCGGTCAAATACAGAGTTCTAAAGTAAATATACAGTGAAATGTAGTTTACTTGCATTGTATTGCCAACAATCCTATAATGGCTGGGCTGAGCTATTATTACATTAAAAATGACTAACTACGATTTTAGTGCATTGATAAAAACAAAATGTATATGTTTCTAGATATCATTTATGATAATCTAATACTAAATATCGCATGATAGCAGGTAACTAGATGTTGATTAGAATCTGCCATTGGGAAAAATACCAAATTCTAGCATTTTCATCAAAAAACCAAAACTAAATAGGCGCTTGAAGGTTAAAACGATTGTTATAAATATCGGAGGCACATTAAAACGTGCTTAATTTCACATTAAAATGGGTTTTTGTCTCGTGTCACGGATCGTCAATACCACCGAAATTAATACTAAAGTTAAGTTGCTGGCTTTGTGATGGTCAAACAACGAATTATTCGTAATTTTGAGATACCTTAATTCTTTAAAATATGAACATCGTTGGTGAAACCGGACGATTTGTAAAACGATGTTTTGTATTACTGGTATTATCTTTTTTTATGACATTTTTTTGCTAGTGATGAAGTATAAAAATGGATCTAAGCAAGAAATATATGTTCAGTTTAACTTGTTATTATTATTTTTTTTCGTAGCGACATAAAATCTTGTGTTACGCAAAACGCAAGTATAACACCATAATACTATATAGGTACATAATAAATTTCTGGTCACGCTCTCTAAACGAGTGAACGAGACATAAAATGAGACAGAACACGTAGGTTTTTGTTACCCTCGAATATATTAATAATGTCTGCAGACCGACCGGCGGTCGAAGATTTTCTTTTTTGTCTGGAAGTAACTTAGCAACATCATACGTCGATGAACAGGCACGCATACTCAAATCAGCTATATTTTATCTCGTTCCATCTTATTTTAAGTGGTATTCGAAAAGAGGTTTTCGTGGTAATGGTAGACTTGGTGAAGTAATTTGATTCCTACTCTTTTGCATATTTATGCCAATGTGAAGTTTTTATAGCATTATTTCCTGCACATCGCACTACAAGACAATTTTCCAAGATAATCCATTTTATATTTGGTTTCTGCTAGTAAGCTTACAGCTTAATTAAATAATCTAAAATCAACATAAATACACAATGAGTGTACATAATAGGAGTCCTAGACGCAATCCTTTTTCGTAAATGTGCTGTTTTACACAAAATTTACTAAATAGTTTAATCATATAACACGCTCACATCTGTACGACCACAAAAGATAGCCATAAACCCAAGTTTAATGTTGTAAACATCCTTCAAAATATGTAGTACAAACAATTTTATTACCATTTCAGAGTTTAATCTCGAAGGCTACGATAAACATTGTACGTAAAAGAAATTTAAGTTTTATGGCTTACAATTCTAACTAAGGGCACATACAGACGACTGTATATCACAGCGCCGTTAGTTCGGTTTTTTTAATTTACTAAGAATATTTATTAAGTAGTTCTTAGCATCATAGCATGGTGGGTTTATGTTTTAAACTTTTTATGAGAGTGGATACCTGCTCCCACCAGACGTAACTTTTCACGAATATTTCGCGAATGTAAAATTAGTACGAGTGTATATAGTTATTAATATCATTTCGCGAGCGACGACCTTGCAATTGACTTTGTAAACGCGCCTTATAACCTCGGCCATACGTGCACTACACGGGTTTATTAGGTGGAAGAGGAAAAGTCTGCGGAAAGCCAGACTAGGAAAACATATGTAGTGCCCCAGCGTGCTGTGAGATACGCGTTATTCTTTGTAGTAACTATTATATACTATCATTTCAATGTGAGCTTTACGTTCGAGTATTATAATTACGCCGTAATTTATTCGTAACTCGAAAGCTTATAAAATAAAATAATATAATGTAAAAATTACTGACATCAGCCTTTTTTACGTAACACAGAAAAGGCAGGACTGTATAACCTATTTTAGCTTTAAACATTCGTAACCCCACAAACTTTTTGCCGAAACGTGTTTTACACTAAACGGCATCTGCAGACGGCGGTTCAAGACTAGAAATTTATAAATATATAAAATTATTTAAAACCATGTTAAACTGTTCGATACATCGTAGAATAATAATTTTAATGATGTGCCTGATCCAATGCGTGCAGGATTATGGCATGCCGTCAAGATTTTTACTCATAACAAAATGGTGGCCTTGACAAATTGTCTAGATGTTAATTCGCAGACATAACTGATACATTTAGATGTCTAAAGGATAAAAAACCATCTGATAAGTAGTTCACTGGCATTGCGCCCGCAATTTTTTCAACGCAAATTAGTATGAGAGCAATGTCATTAGATAAAAATACAAGTGAAAGTGAATAAAAACATCTTCATATAAGGACCGAGACTTAGTCGCTATAAGTTTTTGCTTGAAGTTATAATTTAAAATAGTGGAACTGTGAAAAAAGAAACAAAATAGAACTTAAAATTAATTCAGACAAGTTTTTTTTTTGGGGCCATGGAATATGAAAGACTGTGCAAAGATTTATAAATAAAGAATAGTTAAGCCACGCATGAAATTCTGAAAATCTAAAGTTAGTCTCAATATCAACCTAAGTGAAACAAAGCAATAACGTCTATAACAAAAAATTCCAAGAGGACATCCTTTGTTTCTTCTCCAACTCAATTCTTATCTAAAGCCTTGATCATACTTTAAACGCTATTAAACATTCAATATATAATCGGCCGAATGGTTGAAATTTTTAACATAATCGCATATGACGTCACCGAAACTATGTTATCAGTCGACGTAATGTCAAATGAGTAAGTAATATGACTCAATCTGTGCCTTATGTTTAAATAATGAATCAAATTAATATCACTCATTACCATTTCAAATAAAATGTGTTTTTCCTAGTCCTTATTTTAGAATCAGATTATCGATTATTATGATAAGAGACGACCAATTGCTAACCATTGCTAATTTTAAGAAGTTACTGTTCACAGCTTAAAAATATTATTACAACTAAAATATTTAATAAAACGCAGTTATAGAATTTAGTACAATCTTAAATTTTGAGTATTGGTAAGCTTTTCTATAAGGAAACCCTTTTTATCGAATTCATAGCGTTATACTAGAATCCTTGAAAAGATAATTCACTGTATTATTTTTTATATTGGTTTTAGGTACTTCTAGATGGATTCTCGGAGATTAGTATACATAGTGAATAAATCACAATCATAGCATTTGAAAGGCGGCTGAGTTGAAGCGCCTAACAACGCTCAAAAAACTTAATAAATCAATTAATATTAATACTTAGAATCGCATGACCGCCGCGCATTCCAGCATTAAATTGATGCCAACAAATTAAAACGGGTTTTTGCGATATTTGAAGTTATAAGTCAGTTATGTAACGTTAGTATATTACTTCTAAAATGATACAAGAACCTCTTAGCAAACGTTTTATTTATTTAGGTATTTAATAGATTATAATTGCATGCCATAATAACAAAGTTAACCTGCCTTGGACTAAGGTCCAAGTTAAGGTTGGTAAGCCAAATCTAGTGTTGTCTCATTAAATGCCTTCGCACTTGACTAGTTCCAAATATATTTGGCACACATTTTTTGTTAATGTCGACAACCTTTATACTATAACAATCTTATTATTGATGACATCAATTTGGATCTCTTTCATAAGCTGAAGTAATCCTCTGTTATAAGAGTGAGAGTAAAAAATTTTGTTATTGTGGTCTGTAAGAGTTAATGTCTTAGGCACATGTACGTGATACTCGACCCTTAAATGCAAGGCAAGTATGACCCATCCTCTATCTGCTGGTTAGGGCACTGGACTTGTTGAGCCACTCTATTGCAGTAATGAGCCAGGCCGAATGCAAAAAGCATCCAGGTCAAGTTCCCAATGTGCTTGATGTAACGAAGGCTCCACATGACGTCACAGTTGCATGCCCATGCTAAATATAGATTAGAAATAACCTCCACTGACCCACTTTGTATGCCCGACGTGCTTCAGCGAAAAAACTTCGGAATCCTATAATTATTATAGACTGTACACCCCACTATGTGGGTCAAAGCCAAATGAAATATTACGTATAGAACACATTTACTCGTTTCCTATGCAATGTAAAGTAAAATATCTACTTATTTACGAACATATTCCTAGATTCTGTTTTGACAAAATAAAATAATTAGATAGGAACAATTATTATTTTTTATTCTTAAATAATGGGGTAATACGTAATGTGGTAGGAAGTACTTGAATTAGGTATGAGTACTAACGTATCTAACTGGATTTTTATTCAATCACCTTGCAGACTTAATAATTGTTTAAACGCACTGCCTTAATGCTACTTTTCGGAAAAATGCTGCCAATGATTTCTACGTATTTTATCAAGACAAAGGACAGGCAGTGGCACTTAACTGCAAATAAAAGTGAATATTGACTTAGCACGCAACGACAATCGTATTTTCACCTCAAACGGCTCGGCTTGCGTTATCCACAAAATCAAACGTTGATAACTTGTTATTGGAAGAGTACCTTATCGATAAGATAACACATCCACTAGTTAGGAAAAAACAAGAGAAATTTTGACACAAAGTACAAATAGTCTCTCCACAGACTATTTATAGATACATTTTAATGTGCGATATAAGTTATTATTACACCCTGGAATAAGATGGAAGAGTATACAGAAGTAGAAACTAATGATAAGTTACCACGACAATTATCTTACCGATTAATCATCGTTGGACAATAAAACTTTTAGACGTACTACTCAATAGATATTCAAGAAAGAAACAACATTATCAATCAGTTTGGTAGACATATTCATCTGTTTCACTTACCCTAGAGCTCTCGTCAATCTTCTTGGCGGGACCATCATATTTGCAGTTCTTCTGTTTAAATTCCCCTGGCTTCGAGCACACGCCGTACCAGACGCAGTCAGCCGAAGCGCCTGGGACCTGGAAGTTAAATCATTCACTGAATAAATCTCTTAGTAAGACCACATATATCATTAGATGCCAAAAAAATACGAAGACGTTGACTTGAATGATAATTCCTATAAAATATTGCAAAAGGTATCAATCATGTAGCAAGTTTTGTCAATATACTTGTGAAGTAAATATCTTATGCAAATATTTGTATATTTACGACTGTAATAGTATGATGATTCTGATTATCATTTTCCTAAGATACAGTAAATTTCGATTTTTAGCTACCGAGCTGCCGTCTAAAAGTCAGGTTGCGTTACTTAGCTATTCGTTTTTGGCCGGGGTGACTTTGACTCCATGATGTGGGAGCAACAATGCAATTCAAATCAATGCTTTCCGGCTATGTTGAAATTTATGGTGATTTACCGAGGTCTGACGAATATCTAAATATAATGGTAGCTGTGGGTTTGACGTCACAGTTTACGATTACAGCGCGCTTTGGAGAAAAGCGTGTTACACTTATTTTGACAATGCGATTGAAAATGTCTTATTATGTTTGGTCTCTACAGTACTAGTACAAATGACAAAAACCTAAGACAATGTATAATGCAAGAGATTATTTATTGTAAATAAACCGGAAAATCTTACCTAACACAAACCTACGACAATAAATCATCTTGAATGCTGTGCATCTCTTTCTCTCATCAATGGTGTTATTTATAATTGCTGATCGATGTAATTATTATATTAAAAATGACGGACATTGCAGTTCAAGAACCAAACAGTAGGACGAGGAAAAAACGTCCTATTAATAGATATTTGTCTTATTTTGCTTTATTTAAATAACAAACATGTTGCAATCTTATATATATAAGTAAAATATTAATATCAACTGTTTGTGATTCATGTATACGACCCCCTATTGATTATGAAACACGCCGTTACATTGACGTTGGATATGGAAATTCAGGTGAGAGACGTGTTAGATTTTTGATCTGATTTCATTTCATCTGATGAAGAACATGGAGGCCGGAATTATAACTAGATAATTGAAGGTGCATCTTGTCATATTTAATGAATTTAGAAAAATAAGGGCTCTAAGAATATTTTTGATATCAAACAAAGTGCTCGGACATCGATTGTAGGTAGTTTAAATTACTATTAAATTATGCTAAGTAATGACGTTTTAAACTGTTTATAAATGCTTTAAATATACCATTAAGAACATTAAATATAATCATAATGTTTCACATGCTGCCAGGTACTTTCTTACTATCCCCAAACATATTATGTTTTTCGTTAGTTTCGATACATCCAACTCCCATACATCTATATATATGCATCCGATACAAAATTCACAGAAGCGAGCGGCTCCCATTTTCCGATAAACACATACGCAATTGATTTGTTGTGGTACTGCAGCAGCTATTCTGGAGTTCGCCAAATCTATTATTAGTGTTTCCACATTTGTACTTAAACAATTTATTTTCCTGTTTTTCATGTTAGTATAAAACATATTAGATGGTATTTTTTCCTCTATAATTATAATAAATGAGAAGCAAATAGATACTAATATGTAACTATTACCGGAAGAGTATTTAGAGATTAGTGCTTGCTAATCATATCACAAACACAAGTTTCTAATATGCCTTTATCACTACAAATTATAAAATAAAGTCGCTTTTTCTGACCCTATGTGCGCTTAAATCTTTAAAAGTACGGATTGCGTTACTTTTTTTAATATATAGACTGATTCAAGAGAAAGGTTTTTTTTATACAACGTTTTCAGTTTTTCTGTAGTCACCCGAGCGAAGGCGGGGTGGGTCGCTAGTATATTATAAACTAGTAAACTAATACGTTAGAAAGCAATCTGTCTATATTACGCGAGTAGTACACATTTAACATTACAATTTAAATAAAACACTTTAACGGTTTAAAACGCGATATATTAGTTAAACTTATTTATTTCGCCAAATACCAACTTCGACGGAACAGATGGCGATAGCATAGCAATTTTTTACTTTAACGTCAGAGACATCCTCCATCTTTAGTCTCCCCGTGACCACGGCTGCTGCAAAGCATCCGAAACGTCGGGCCGAAGTTAAAAATAATTTTCAAATAAGTTTAACTAATATTTCGCGTTTAAACCGTTAAAGTGTTTTATTTAAATAGAAAGCAATCTTTTTATAAACGGCTATATTTTGTTATTGTGCTCCTATAGCGAGTATTGTTGGCAAGCGGAACGCTCTATCTGGCATTATATTGTTTACTATGCCTATTTGTACACTTCAATGAAAATTATATTCAATACAATACCAAGAGTTCTAATAATCAAAAGTGATTAGATGCGTCAATAAAATGTGATTTCATATAAGTTGAAGTATCAATACATATAGCAGAAAAAATACAAATTTCATGTTTAAAGTTACAAGGTTATCTCGCCAAAAAAATGGTTTCATCTAAATAGTGACACTAAGGATCTATAGAAAAACAGCTGTAACAGAACGGAACGCTGACGATGCCGGTTCAAGTCCTGGCCGAGTTGAAAAAAATTTTTTTCAATTTATTTTCGATTTTTAAATTATATAGTGCCTTCATGTGCAAAATATTAAGGTTTTCAGATATATAGTGCAATTTATGCATAGTGCGACATATGCTAGGTACTCAATTATATACATTTTTGTTACGAAAAAAATCGTTACTTTCTCCTAATGTGTTAGAATCTAATCTAAAAACTTTAAATTAACTTTCCAATATCTTTTTTTCGACTAGATGTAAGTTTTCCATATGTGAACAAATAAATTAACATTAATTAATAACTATAATGCCTAATTAACGAAAACATTGCTATGGCGACAACTTTTGGCAACAACACGCCACAACAGTGTATGATTACGCCTTTCGTAAGAGTACTTTGCCAAATACACTACGATATAACTTACGGTCCCTGGAATTCTACGGACTTTGGCATGTATGGACGTGTTTATGTTAAAGACAAGATAAATATACGTAGTATTGTGGCCTTAATAATATTGAGATAGACATGGTTAAATAATAAAACAGTCGTAAATAGTGTTTCTCACTCTTGTCTACCAGACTGAATAAGACCTTTGACGACACAACAAGCACAACCAATTAGTGTATTTATACAGTTCGGATTTATATGTTTTTTACTAAGGTACGGTCTTCCTATCCGTCGGTTTGTGTCAACTTTCTAGAACGCTAGGTGTTGCAAAATTACGAGCAAAGTCAATCGTGCAAAACATATATTGTACATACACCCGTATATATATAGTGTACATATCACCTTCGCGAATAAATGTATTGATTGTCGTATACCCTTACAAATCTATAAATATATAAGGCTGAAGAGTTGGTTTGTTTGTTTGAACGCGCTAAATAATCTAAAAAAAATCTGCGACTTTATATGTCCATCTTTTAAGATTAATTTGCAAAAACGACGGCACGCGGACGAAGTCGTGGGTAACAGTTAATATATATATAGATAGTTGAGAAGGCTTGCAAAAATAAATTTTGATGACCAAAATAACTATTTTATATGCGGACGAAGTCGCAGGCACAGCTAGTGGTTGATATAGTTTAAAAATACGAAGCTTTGACGTTACTGAATTTCAAACAGTCATAGCTTATGCCAATGACCTTTGACTTTTCAAAGGCTATACAGAAAATAGGTCGCTTTCACGTTAAAATGCGGGGTTTATAAGCGATACGTTTACTGTATATGCTATGTTAGAGAGTTAGGAATAATGTCGATATTGGAAAACAAGACGCCGGTAAATAATCAATCTTACGCGTCTTGGACTTTCGAGAGCGCGCTAGTAACATTGTCATTATACTTTCTGTGTACGTCAATCTGTAGACACTAATAAATAAATCTGTAGTACTGATGAGTTTGTTCGTTTGTTTGTAGGTTTGAATGCGCTAATCTCAGGAACTACTGGTTCGAATTGAATAATTATTTTTGTGTTGGTTAGAGCATTTATAGAGGAAGGCTATGAAATATAGTGTCTAATAGGCGCGAACCAACATCGGGAAATGTCGAAAAAATAGAGAAAATTATTCATCCTTGTAGATTTCCATTGCGTACGCTGCGCAAATGGTTCAAGATACCCAAAAAATATGGATCAAAGATTTCTCTTTAAATGATCTATAAAAAAATCCGCGACAGTATTTATGTCTATTTTATAAGATTAACTTGCAAGAACGACGGGACGCGGGCGACGTGGGTAATAGCTCAAATTTATAGAGTTGAACAGGGGGTTTGCAAAAGACAAAAATTGATATGTAAAATAATTATTCTACGCGTACGAAGTCGCTGACCAAGCTGGTCAGTAATAAAAGTTACCCTTAGATCTTAGACCTTCGACAAACCCAAAGGCTTGTGTTTGACACGCGAAAAAGATTCTCGATCTCATTTATTTTATCATATACCTAAAATACAGTAAAATACGCATCACAAATGCAGTACAAATAAAGACATTTCCAGACTGTCTCGCGTTAAGTCATCAATTAACACTGCACTGATCTATTTTGATCTTTACGAGCTATGAAATATGGAATAAATTGCAACAGTAGTTTGTTTATCAAGGTATTGGTTTTACGTCATGAGGGGACCTAAATCAGTGCTTTCCGGTTATTATGAGTCACGATGCTCGGGGATTATATGACAATTACTTTATTGTTTTAGTGAGTTATTTAATTAGTTGCACTTTTATTCATATAGATTCTCATCACATATTTCTCAGCCGCTGGCATACTTGACTTACAGACGCATGAAGCACTTATTTTATATATATATATTTTTTTTTAAGAATTGAAATATACAAATACAAATATTTTTTATTGTCATAAAACAAAACAACAACAAAATAAAAATTGATGGAAATTAAGGACAAACGGCGAATTTATAGCTAAATAGCTATCTCTTCCAAGCAACCGTAGAAATGGAAATTCTGTAATAAAAAAGGAACGCGTGACAGCAGAAAAAGGACTTAACCTACATACTAAAATTTATAAAAAAAAAACTAATACAAAATGAGCTTAATCTAAAAATCATTTATTATTAACTAGGTTACTTAATTAGGCATAAATAGTGGGACTTGACAAGATTGATGAAGGAAGCGAGATTCTGGGCTTTTCTTATTAATATAAGCCTTCTAATGAAGGTAAATTCTTTTAAACCGATTTTTTATTTATTTACTGAAATAACGCCGAAAACTTTAATCACCAGACCAAGACGTTACCAACATTTGTGGCATAGACCCGAGCCCCGACACAAAAGCAGTATTAATATACCATTTCACCGCACGATGCTTAATCAAATAACCTTTCGTGACCGCTTTGAAAGCTGTTAGGTCATGGTCGATATAAAACGCTAACAGACAAACATCGCTTCCTGAAGCTTATCTGCAGTATTAAATTTCTAGATAATGTTTATGATCTGTGGATCGTAAGACCACACTGCGATGATATCTAAGCATATTACATTATTATAAGATTACATTGAAAATATTTGAACTATGTTGTCAAAATTATTCCATACTACAAAACGATGGCAGACAGATGATACCTATACATACATAGTAGTATAGTAGGTATTTTATGAAAGTGCGTCCATTTTTCTTACTCATCCTTTGTCAAACAACTTGACCGACTTTGACAAAATACAGATTAAACCAGTCGTATGTATGCTTGTTTCGAATATCACTGGTTCTATTATGAAGAGTAAATAACTGATCTTCATCGACATTTTAACTACGCCATATGTCTAGTTAAACATTAACAATAGTATACGTAACCCGCCAATTAAGATACCCGCATAGCCCACAATTGACAATTGTGTTTTATTAGTCTGAGAAATCCATAGTATCTATAGATTTATAATAAGCAATGCGTATTATGGTACTCGAGTCCGTGGTTTCATCTGTGGCTTTTATGACAGAAGATCACGTACAAACATAAGGATTTAAATAAAACACTTTAACGGTTTAAAACGCGATATGTTAGTTAATTGAAAATAATACTACTCGCGTAAACTATAGACAGTATTTAAACATAAGGATTACTAAACGAAGTTGAACTGGCTAAGAAACATAAATGGCTGTTCAATACAATTACTGCTATGTCAATCAATTTATTTTAGCATTGGGTATTGGGAACCCCAAACATAATATGTACTAAGGACATAAAGAAATGTATGGAAATTTGAATGTCATGGATATTATATACTCGTCGTTCTAGACTCAGATATTGACATATCATTTTTAACACAGAGATAATCTTTTAATCAATTCCAGTAGTCTAGAAAGTCAGCAATAGTACTTCGTTTCTAGACGAGGAAAGAGGAGCCGAATTTAGACACTCTGTGAGTCTCAAAACAAAACATATTCTTCGACGACTACTTATTTAAAGATACTCGAAAAACAATAAAGACAACCTAGATAATATATCTAAATGCTTTCGATTGCTTTGATTTTTTAATCGCAAAACTTTACAATATTATACTTGTAATTCAATGTCCCGCCGTTGATATGAGGTAAATAATTTGTTTAGTAACATGTAATAGGATAGTGTAAGAAACGAGTCGGCGTACGATCAATATCAGACCTTCGTAACAGAGATCGATACTCGCCTGGGGTAACTGACTGAAAGAAACCATTTTGTTTAATTAGAAATCTATATGTCAGGTGAAGAACCTAAAGCACTAAAAGCTTCTAGAATATGCTGTATTATTGATCTAGGAGTTTCTGTGAGAATATTTCGGAAGTAAAAGTATGTTTCTTTCTAATAGTAGGTAGGTAGTAAATACATTTTGTATACGGTATAGCAATTTTTAATTTACGTGTATTGAAAATTAATTACCGCTTAGATTTTCGTTATTAAAGTCAGAATTCTTATTTTTTTTTAATACCTTACCTACTTATCATAAACTTTACTCACAAAGTGTTAAAGAGTGCTTTGTTTTCACTATGACAATAAACATATAATATGCAACAAAGTAACCAGAAAATTGCAGGTGAAGGTTATCAAAAATTAATTACCACCTAGCAAAACATATGATGATAAAAAGTTAAACAAGAACTTGATATTGTTAAATCTTACAGAGCTATATTCAAGCAAGGACCTTCTTTGCAAATGTGAATAGAATTCATAATTACAATTAGTACAGTAAATGGTTAGTATCCCATTGTTGATGCATCTGTAGTTTAATTAATGTACAAGTAAAACATGTTGGTTGTGTGTAAGGACTTCTCTAAAATTTATATAAAACTATCAAGTTTTATATAAATTTTAGAGAAGAGAGAAGAAGAGAAGCTTATCTTTTTAATGATAAATATCACACTTTGTTATTAGTTTTGTAACATTGCTTTTACTAGGCCTGCCTCAGTCTCATAACTTTGATTAAACATCCAATGTAATTAATATAAAATTTTACTAAAAGTAGTATTTTATCAATGTAAATATACAAAACCGGACATATACACAGGCAGACACATATAGACAGGCTTGCTTTTAAACAGTCTATGCTAAAACTAGAAGTTTCTAGCACAATAGTGATAAGATACAACATTACAAATATTACCAATTTGTACAATCAAGAATTGCCTCGATCTCAATTGGTGGACAGCTGTGTTATAGGGTCCATTAATATTAATTGCTTCTGATTGACATCTGTCAAGTTATGTTATCCTTTTAAATGAAATGGTGATATATATGGTGGATTGTTACCAAGTCCACTAAAATCTATATTTCTTTTGAAATGATTTACAAATCACGTAAGACTGAAACCTAACAGTTTGTATTGAAGATATTAGTTGTTAATATTATACATAGCAGTACATTGACTACTAACTTGTTGTGTATCTATTCTTTGAGACAAGTATGATGAGTTATCAGTTGCCTTATTGATGGCAAAACAAATATTTACAGCACACAAACTAACTGTTGTACAACCAATAAAAATATCTTAATGATAATAAACCTTAACAAATATATGTAAAAAATTTATAATACATATAATATATTTTGGTAAGTTATTATACACAAGAGCAAAGCTATGTTTTATAAGTATGAAATCTTTTTGTAATGATAGTATTTTGACATAGCAAATCAAATTTATAAATATTAAAAATCTAAAAATTTATTTTTGTTGCAATATATTTTAAATTAAGAATATAACTCTATTCAAATGACTTCTAATTACCAGTAATATTTGTTATAAAAAAAAAGTGAAATCCCGCTTCCCCCTCGTGGGGCATGGGCTGAACACAGTTCTGTTGTCCGTTTCACTGATGCATTCTTTTTAACAGGCAAGTAGTTGATCAGACTTCTGTGCCCTAATATTTGTAATAGTTACTTCCAAAACAGGTTTGGTTTTATGCTTGAACAGGGTTAATGGTCAGCTGACTTTGTGAATTGATCACTCAGCTTTTGATCAGTGTCCCCAGAAGAAAATATTAATATGAATTGTAAATATATAAATTTTGATCATATTACATTTTTAGAAAAATATTAATATCTATAAGGAATTCTTATAATGGAATTTTCATATGTAAACAAAAAAATAGACGTTTTTGCTATATGCAGTCGTTTTATGATCTCATTTCCTTGTGAATACGCAGTCGCCTTGATTTGTAATGTCTACGTTTTTGCAAGGTAAGTAAAGGTAGATAAGCCAAATCACGAATAGAATCAAAAAAATCAACATTAATACTAATTATGACAATGTTTTATACGACGAAATAGCGAAATGGTATAATAACGTAATAATATTACTTACGTTTTCCGATATATAAAGCAGCAACAAATATCCGAGGATAGTTACTATAAATTTTCGCAAAAACCTCTCGCCGTCGCCAGCCATATTGACCCACTGAACTTCACAAATTAATTATATATAAATGTTAAAGTTCTTGTTTTGTCATATCATAGTTAAAACACTATTAAGTAGTTTTTATTGAGGAGAAAACACAGGATTACACTGTGATACGATATGACGCACTTCTTCCTTCGAGTTTTATTTCCAAAATGACATCATGATTTTATTTGTCATAGAACTGTGTCAGTGCTAAATGACAACTTCGACTTGACAATTGTCTTCGAATATTTACACCGCTGCTATACTCAGTTTTATTGTACTTGGCAAAAGACCACAACAAATATGGCCGATTTCAAGCCAGAGAGAACTAATGAAGCGTTTTATAGAGTGTAGTTGATCCCACAGATGACACAGTCATCTGTGGTGTCAAATTTGGGAAAAAGATATACAAGAACGATTTCAATATTAAAAATTACTATTAAAGCGATATCGTTTTTATTTTTCTTGTATTCACCCTATAATCTTATTAATATTATAAACACAAAAGTTTAACTAGGGACGTTCTATACGTTGAAACGTGGAATGGAATAGATTTCCATTAGACTTTACTAATATTATCATATATATTATATTGGTAAAAGTAATTGAAAATTTGTCTTATCTTTCTTTTCTTAGCCTTTTTGTTGGGTATTTGCTGGTGTATTTTTTAAATAAAACTCGACTTGCCTTTGGATTCTGAATTGCTTACAAAATTCAAGAAGAATAACAGTTTTGCAAACGATTGGATATTTTTTCGTTGATTTTGATAACTTAAGGTAGGTGACAATAATACAATAACAACATACAAGCAATGCTGCAACAGAATAATATTGCATTTGATAAAAAAGAAATTAAGGCCCAAGTTTTGTCAAAATTTACGCAAAGCGATTAAATTAAAAAAAAATGATCAAATGGCAAAAAAAGCCTTATAGTCCTATGTTTTCGAATTAAATCCAATCGAACTCATTTGGGCCAATTTGAAGTCTTATGTAGGGAGAAATAATAAAAGTTTCAAAATTGCGGAATTTAAGAAACTAATAAAAGAAGGAAATGAATAAATTAGATGGGATTACGGATGTAGCATGCGACGACCTTCAATTTATTATCCACGTCTCTGAGGAATCAAGTAACAATGTCACAATAAACAATTAATAATGCCTTGTTACTTTTATTATTGCTTTTAATAAAAGTTACGATTTCATGCGAGTTCAATTTCTCGCTTCTACTGTCGTTGACTTTGCTTACGTCGCGTCCTTACTTAAATGTCAAACTTAAGAAATTTAAATCTGCCCATTTTCATAAACTAATTTTTGGGATCTTAATAAATTTTAGCATGAAATTGTAAGTAAATAAGTAAATTTGAGGTAGTTCTTTAGTTTCATATATAATCCAGTGTCTTGAAGTGTTTTTAGTGTGAATCATTGCAAACCTTGTGAGAAAATTATGATTTCAGGAACATCGTGTGCTTGTTTACCAAAAATGTCTAGTAAGAATAAATGGACTATAGAAAAACAAAACATTATGACAATCAACATTTATTTGACAACGTCAAAATTCCATTGTTTATTCTGTGAAGTATGTCAACTTAGATGTCAAAGATTAAAATAATAAATAAGAATAAAGGTAAAGAAGAATGGAAGAAAGGAAAAGAAAACGCAATTTGTATGTTACCGCTCTGCAAAAGAAGAAATTAATTGAATTATTAACGAAACACCCATTGCTCTTATCAGGTAAACGAAACGAGAGTTTTTCGAATCTGGATGCACAGCGCTTGTGGCAAAGTATCGCTAAGGAATGCAACGCTATTCCAGGAGCAAAGAAGCATTGGAGACAATGGAAAAAAGTTAGTCATTCATACAATTTTATGCTAATAGAAAATTACGGCTTTTACTCAGCGTAGTCATGCGACGAAGGCATAATAAAAGAATGCCTTGGCTTCATTTACTTAGGGATTTAAATACTATCATGCTATTATTCCGTCTTTTAATTATAGTTAAAATAATGTTATTAATAACAACTTTTATCTGTCTACTATGTTATATTGTAAATTTTCAGACTTGGCAAGACATGAGATCAAAATATGCTAAGCGACGTCGATCAAGTAATAACGGTGTGCCATCAATTAGTGGATTGTTAACGGAAGAAGAAAGAGAGGTCTTATTTGGAGTTAAAATGGCTGAAGAATACTCAGAGAACACAGAATTTGTACCACTAAATGATAACCAAGAGAGCTTTCATGATGAAAACACATCTGCATGCTCTATTAGTGAACCCCCTTCACCACAAGAAGTAAAAGTTTTTCATACACAAAAGCCAAAACTCCGATCAGATTACAAAAATAAATGTTATAAGAACAGCTCAGAACCATCAGGAAACTGTAGTATGAGTTGTGATATGCTAGTTACTAACGAACAAAAGAAAATAAAATTAAAGGAAGACTTTATGAACTTTAAAAAGGATTATTTAAGACAGAAATTAAGATTGCTAAAAGAACAAACCGAAGCACTGAAAAGTATAGCTAGAGAAATTTGTAATAAATGAGAGTTGTGTATAAATCAAATTTAGGACTATCTTCTTAAGGCTGAGCCTGAGTTATTCTTATAATGATTGTGGAAATATTGTGTAAAATACATAGATGCTTTTTATAGTCTGTATATAGTTGATGAGGTAGACTCAGTATTATTTTATACTACAGTTACTGTTTTTGTGTTTAAAACAGTATCATATTAATCAATTTGGTTTCTGGACACTTTCTGTTGGAATCTATATATATAGCAGATATCACCTATGCGATCTGCATCAGCATGTTTAACAATTTATTTATTTTCTTACTTTAACATACTAATCAAATTATCTGGACAAAGAGGTGATACCTTGAGTAAAACACCAATATACATGAGCTTGTAAGTATCTTCTATTCTATTCTACAGTAAGAATGAATATGTAAAATGAACATTAATGTTTTGTTTTTACCCTTTATTTGGTAAATATTTGGAAATTTTTAATCTCTTACGGCATTTCTTTCTCCAAAAAAAAGTTGATGTTATCTCTAACAATATTATCATTGAAGAAGTTTTCTGGTCTCTTAAATCACTTGTAAAACACGTATCTGATCTGTTAAGGTTTATATAACTATAACATGTATGTACATAAGTAATTGAAATAATGCTATTTTTATAGTAGTAATTTTAACAATAATAAATAATGGTATGTTTTTAAAGCAATTTGTAACTTGACTTTCTTATTTTCTACTTATGGCAGCGATTATATTGTTGAGGCAGTGGGTGGTTGTTTAATTCCACGTGGACAGTGGCGAGCTGACCAACTATCAAAATTATAAAAATGAAGTGCAATGATATTATAATCGCTTGTATTAGTCACAGAGCGATGTTTTATTGCCTATAGCCTTCCTCGATAAATACTCCAACCAACAAATTATGTTAGTCGCCACCGGTGGTTGCAAAAAAACTCATTTACTTAATAATTAATTTATTAAAAAATATTACATTTAATTAATCCTACTTGTCTCCCTGTGCACGATGCATCAGTTCGACGCTTACAATTATATTACTACATTTATTTAATTCTAGGTGTCTCCCTGTGCATGATGCATCAGGTTGACGCTTACAATAATTCTCATTAATTTCTTATACTAAAATGGACACGGCAACAGTAGCGTCACATACCGATCGCACGGGTATCGAATACGCGCACTATCAGCACTTTCCCCGTAGTGGCACAGCTTAGGGCTGTCGCCTAATAGAGTGCAGCTTAGGGCCGGCACTTAACATACACAAAAATATTTTTTTAGAGACTGTTTTTTATTCAAAAACTCTAGATCCCAATAAACAGCATACCGGCAAACGCGAAGACACCGTTTGTCAATTCTGCAAGGACCCGGCCAGTTTCGCCAAATACCAACTTCGACGGAACAGATGGCGCTAGCGTAGCAATTTTTTACTTTAACGTCAGAGACATCCTCCATCTTTAGTCTCCCCGTGACCACGGCTGCTGCAAAGCATCCGGAACGTCGGGCCGAAGTTAAAAATAATTTCCAAATAAGTTTAATATATTGCGTTTTAAACCGTTAAAGTGTTTTATTTAAATATTTTTTTAGTTCAAACCCCGAAGTTCCTGAGGTTAGCGTTCAAACTAAACATACTTTGCCTAGCAAAGCCTAGCTTGGATTGACAAGTTATTTTATTATGACTATTTTTACTGTAATTCAAAAAGTCAAAAAATGTTAAACGTCTACATATATTACATACATTTCTATATTATTAAATAATATAATCAAATAAATTCATACTATAAAACAATTTGAAAACTTTAAAGTAATCTACAGTTATTGGAACAATTCAGAATAGAAAATTATTTATTTGGATAAAGATTAATAACTTGCACAACGGTTAGGCGCTTGTTTTTAAATTTGTAATATATAATATGTTTTAAATCTAAAGCTATAATACGGATGCTGTAATTCGGCAGCTCTGAACAGAGGTTAGACTAACTTTGGCGCATGTACACTCGTAAAGAAAACTAATACTGCCTGAATGGCATTATTAATTTTCGTTACTGGGGTAAATGAAAAATTTTACCTATAGCAAGCAAAAGTAACATACCAATAATTGGTTCAAAGAGAATAATGGCTACGAATACTTATTTTTTCACTAAAATACAGAGACAAAACAAAAATATAACAAAAGAGAAATAATAATATTAAATTTAACAATAAACAATCACTTTTCTAACGGACTGCGCTCAAGACAGAGATAACGAAATTAACACCAAGGAGTGACTGAGACGCACTACTGTTTACCGAACATTACCGAATATGTACGAAGCTTTACGAAAGAACCAAATAGAGATGTCCATACGCGATCCTTGAGAGTGTCGTTCAATCGATTCCTATTAAAATTGTGAAAATTAGATAATAAAATTATACAATAGTTTCTTAAAGTACCTATGCATATGTATTTTTAGAATTATTTGTTACTGAGGATAAACGGAAAAGAGTTTGTTGTACACATTATAATAATAATGATAAATCCCATTTATTGGCATCCAAGCATTCTTAGCAGTAGTAGTAGTTAAATAAATGTAATAACAATAAAATAATTAATACGAAAACATTAAATTTAACTTGAATAAATGTAATGGCAAAAGGGTCTTGTGTGACAATGTAAATTGCAGCACGGTTATGCTACACTGTTTTTTAGCAAAATCCTACAGTTCGTCTGTTATAACATATAATAATGTAAATAAAAATCCTTTTGCAAGATTTACTAAGCTTAGTATTTATTCGCCGTCACTAAACGGGGTAATACCCATTATAGTATTATCGTCAGTCCCTTGCGTATCATATGACCACTGAATGAACTATAAATGGGTGCATCATTGTCAGAATCGTCGTCGCCATCGCTCTCATTTTCTGTTAATGTTCCGTCATTTCATCAATCCTTCTGAGTGTCGTTTAATATTCCTATTGAAATAGATAAAATTGGATCATAAAAATATAATTTTATAAAAAGCCCCAAAAAAGTTATAAATAGTAATTATATAAATAATAACTCATATTTAACTAAATCAGGTAGTTCAATAATGAAAAAAGTTATTAATGATTTTATTTTCCTTTAAAGGTAATCATGGTATTGTTTATTAACAACACCATTCACTGTGTTCATCAATCCATTTAGTACAATATCTCATACGATTTAAAATCCACAATCTAAATCGATAAAAATCGATTACAAAATTTGATAGAATAAGCGGTTGATTGTGTTGACATTAAGTCAATCACTAGCCTAGATCTTCGTCCCGCGCCCCTCGCTCTTACCACCGTTAACATCCTGAAGAACGTTTCTGCGCAGCGTTTCGCGCTTAGATCAGGGATAGCCAAACTGGCCGTATTGTATATATGTGTATTTTGTTCTATCGTTACTAGTTTTAGAAGCACATGCATATTTAGATAAACGTTTTGGAACATGTTTTCCTTGACAATTGACCCAATATTTTTTGAATTGTCACAATATTATTGTTAAAAAGTGAAGCAACTATCAATAGTGAAAGTATTTTAATTATTTGATCAATAAATATGGTATTACTTATGAATGTCCATACCAAGAAAATAATTCCGATTTTCATTCTATATTAAACAAAGTAATATGGAAATCATATGTTACTATGAATCATAAGGATTACAGCAACTTTGTACGTCAAACCTCTGAAGAAATTGAAGTGTCCAATTTTAGTTTTCCGAAACTAAGCGGCAAAGAAGCTAGAAAACTCTATTTAGAAGAAGTCCAGAATGTCAAAGATCCTACCTTACCTGTATCGAGCGGAAACTGTAAAATAGAGAAGACAAAAGTGTCATATAAACGTAAGTTGGATCACAACATAACAATTAATGAACTGTTTCTATGCGTTCAAAACAACAATGTAGAAGAGGTTAAATCTGCTTTAGATACTTGTCCTGAACAGATAAACTTGTTAGATGAATTTGGTTGGAGCTTACTCATGATAGCATGTCAGGCAAATTCTGTTGACACTGTCAAAGAGCTTTTAAAACGTGGAATAGACACTTCCATCAGGGATAAAGCTGGTAACTCTGCTCAGAGTTTAATTATCAAGAACAAAAATTTGGCTATCGCTGATTTACTTTTAAGCCACAAACCACATGGAGATGTACCAAAGCACCATAAGATCAATGTCAAATTAAAAGAAGAATACCGTTGTAAAATTTGTGGCAATAAGAAATTTCCCGATAGACAAGAGCATTTAGCATCTACACTGCACAATATTAATGCAAGCAGAGGAAAGAAAATCCCTATGAAGTATGTTATACCTGAATCTAATAAAGGTTATCAAATAATGCTTAAGGAAGGTTGGGATAAGGAAACTGGCTTAGGACCAAATGGTGCAGGAACCAAGTATCCTATAAAAGCTACTATGAAAAAGGATAGAACTGGATTAGGGTCAAAACAGAAAGTGGTTAAGCCTTTGAAAGATTTACATAAACATATAAATAAAAGATCTCTAGCAAGGGAACAGTCTGAAAGTAAATTAATGGAAATCAAATTTAGGAGAGAATTTTACTAATTTAGTTAATTATACATGTCCATATATAAACAACTTTTCCTACATTGAAGTTTTCTTTCCTTAATACCAATTTGGATCTTTAATTGGTCTTACAGATACATAACAACTGGCAAATGGAATATTTTCCTTATACATATTAGTCATGAAATATTACAGGACAGAGTAAAACCATATGGATTTTAACTGAAACAATTTATTTATAAAGGCACTGATCATGTCTATTGAAATAAACTCATAAACAATATTTACATTACATAATACTAACAAAATATACTTCATAGAAAAGTTGTATATAATTGTGCTTCATTTAAATTAACAAATTGTCATTTTATAAACCTTTCAAAATCATAGTAACTGTCTTTTATCATTTTATCTTATCAACTATATCATACAAATTTGAAGCTAGGTTGTCAGATATCATAGATTAGGGGCTGCCCAGTCAAGGAATTTTATGGCCAACTCAAATCCAACAAAGCAGGCAGCATTGGCAGGGAATGCTCTTATCATTACTGGAGCAACGCCTTTATAAAGTGCAGTAGGTCCTTCTCGCTCCATGAGTTGTTTGAATACATCCCTCATACCTCTTGGATATGTTCCTTCTGGAGCTGTCTGCAACCTACTTTTAAGTACATCAGCTGGCATGCCCACCAGCCAGTTAGCAATACCAGCACAACCTCCAGCAACCACTGTTGCCAACATTTTTAACTTAGCACTTGCATCTTCGGGTACAAGTACCTCCTTTACCCATTCATAAGTCATGAAATACATACCACTTGCTGGTACATCTCTTAGTATGGTGGCGATACTTCCCTTATATATACTCCTAATACCCCCCTCTGCATATAGCTGTCTGGCACAGTCAAGCATGCCACTGTACTTTTGAGGCCCACTGCCGCCTTGTTGAATTTGAAGTAAGCATTTAATTCTTTCACCAGGGGCCATAATTGAAGTCGTAAATATACCAGAAAAGGCACCAGCAGCAAAAAGTTCCGATTTAGTCAGAACTTGGTCGTCTTCAGACTTGATCAATTTTTTTCCTAGTCCAAAACCAAAGAAACTGATTGCGAAAATTGGTGCGACTCCAGTTAAGGGTGCCGACATTCCCTTGTAGAGGCCTTTAAAACCTTCTTTCTGGACAGTTTTTTTAAAACAATCTACAGTTCCAGCGTACAAGGCCGCTTCACCAGCTTGAGGTAAGGGCATAGTTTGTAATCTTACTTTAATAGTGTCCATTGGATGACCAGCTAGTACGGTGCAAACACCACCGAACCCACCACTTAAAAAGTATTTAATCGGGCTACTCTTTTCCGACATGTTTCAGTGCTTACAAGTCTGGTTTAACTGGAGAACGTATCTAATATTATTACTAGTGAGAACTAGTTCACAATACAACTTGTTACTTTCAAGTTTTTAAAATTCAATCCAGTTTTGGATTGGATGTCAAAGTCCACAGAATACAGATGATAACAAACAAATTTGATTTTTCGAAGATAATGTCACGCATTTTAACGTCGTTTCAATGTCAACGACATGAGACCCCATAGTCCATAATTGCTATTGTCAGTGGTTGTCACAATTGTTTTTGTTTACTTCATTTTCAAAAATACTACACCAGGCAATTAATTACAGTAATGAGTAAGCTCAGTCCATGAGACTTTTGGTAGAATTGCACGTGACACAAATATAACTTGTGATCTTTGTACTTTTTAAACCATTGATCATATTCAAATGACAGGACACAATTCGTTTAATTTCCGGAACAATGGCATGTAGTAAGGAAGAAATTGAACGAAAACGTTTAGTCGCGTTACAGAAGATAAAAAATAAAACTTCCCATTCACAAAATGATTCTACTTCATCGTCTGCGTCTTCGGGGACATCATTTGCAAGTCCAAACTCTTCTATTGGTCCTATGAGAGTTTTGAATAAAACAAATAGCCCTATATCTCATCCATATGTAAAAAAAATCCAAATTAAAGACAATCAAGTACCTGTATCAAAAGCTGTTAGTGGAACAGTCTATTTAGTTTCAGAAGATCGATTTGAAGTAAATCCATCAGAATTTTGCATACCACTAATAAATATTTTTAAAACAATACCATCAAAAAGCTATGGTAATTTTGTTTAAAAATCTTAAATTAGGTGTTAAGTGTAATTAAGTCAAAAACTTTAAATTAGTAATTAAGTTAATCAATAAATAGGGGTTTATATCATTACATAACTTTTATATGCATTTTTCTATATTTTAGAGTAAAATCTTGCAAATTATGACTGCCTTATTTAATTCATAGTTGATTTAAAATTATAAAAGCTAAGGACAGTTCTATTATTACATTGCTAACTTTCAGATTCAAAATCCAAACTTTGGAACTTTTCCATAAGTGACTATAATGACTTAATGATAAAAGTAAATCCCTTGTCTCCTCATGTTGTTCTTGGACCTTTGCCTCCTTATGTATTAAAGGTTTGTTCCATTTAATCATATGTTTGCTACTTTAAATGTATGTTATTGGTTATCTAGTCGGAAAGTATAATTTTGGATTAAAAGCTTTACCTTCACCCTGCGAACAACATGCAAACATATAAATACAATTTAACATAAACATCTGAGCTTAAAATACTTTTTCATTCTGGTTTATTACAGATATTAAAAGAAAAGGTGTTGGACCCTAACTCGATAGATTTATCACCTATTGAAGCAACTCTTAGAAATAAATTAATGCCTTTTCAAGAGGAAGGTGTTAGGTAAAAATAAGACATCTATATTTTTGCATGATATGAATTGTTTAAAATGTAATCCATGTTAAAATAAAGTAAACCCAATTTTCCTTGATTTGCATACATGATGTAACTGGTTATTTAACTTGTTGGAATATAATTTAGTAGTGGTAGTTCAATAGAAGGCACTTGTTATTTCAGATTTGGCATATCTCGGCGCGGGCGCTGTATGATAGCAGATGATATGGGCCTCGGCAAGACATTTCAGGCTTTAGCTATCGCTAGCTATTACAGGCATAATTGGCCTCTATTGATTGTCACAACTTCATCTATGAGGTATTTCAGTATATAAATCTTTGCTTATTAAAGTAACTTTACATCTGCGAATTTTGCTGCAAAACACACAGGTATTAATTTATTATTATTATTTATTGTTGCCCAAGTAAGGATCAATAATATGAATCTTACCATGCACATACCAATACCAAGTGCGTTATATTTTAGTGATCATATTTCAGACAAACATGGCAGAGTAAGATTCATGAATTATTACCAACAGTACCGATGATGAATATAGTGACACTGACTACAGGAAAAGATGCTCAATCGGTTGCTGATCATCAGGTAGTTGAAGTTTTTAATAACACCTTGCATAAATGTCTTACCAAAAGTAGATGTCAGATTCAAGTTAATCTCAAAAAAATAAATAAAATGACCGATTATCAAACAAAAAATATTTTCTAACATGTTTAATATAAATTTGAGTATTATATAGTATATTTTACATAATTAAAGTATTATGAGTATTTTTTTTTTGTAGACTGAGGTTGTAATCGTCAGTTATAAAATTACCACCATGCATACTGATCTATTGAAGAGCAAACAGTTTGGGGTTGTTATCATTGTAAGTTTACATTATTAAGTATTTAAAATTGATTCTGTGAGCCGGAATCACCTATAACAATACTGTTATAAGTTGTTTAGTTTACACGAATTTTGTTTATTAAGGGTATATCATGTCAAGTCATGTGTTTTTAATAGGACGAGTCCCACTATCTCAAGTCTCACAAAGCGCAGTGCACAGTGGCACTTGTGTCTATAGCTAGACATTGTTCCCGTGTCGTACTGTTAAGTGGAACACCAGCGTTAAGCCGGCCAGCAGAATTGTACACGCAGCTGACTCTCATTGAGCCTAAATTGTTTACATCTTACACAGAATATGGTAAGTTGAGTTCTTTTTTATATTAAATTTTTAAAATAAAAAATTAATATTCTGTCTATTTTTTTAAATAAAACAAATATCAAACTACTTTCTATAATTCCACTTATTTCGTTCTAACCATTAATCGACTTTTATTTAAATGTGTACTTCTCGCGATAAGTACAAACAATACATTCTTTGATATTTCAACCGCAGGTAAAAGATATTGTGCTGGTAAGCAGACTAATTTTGGCTGGGATATGTCTGGACAATCGAATCTAGCTGAGCTACAGATAATATTACAGAAACGATTCTTAATACGACGGACTAAGGAACAAGTTCTGACAAAGCTGGAAGAGAAAACAAGGTAAATTATTATTTTTTGTACTAAGAAAAAAAGTTTTTTTTTTACTAATTTTACTAAAGTTACCACAGAAACAATTCTATATGTCTATAAGCTTTTAAGATAATATATAAATTATTAATATATGTATTATGTATTCTAAGCGATAATTTTTATGCTACAGGGAATCAATATTACTTGACGAATCGCTTTTGGAATTCTCGAAAGAGAACCAACAAGGACTTCAAGAGATGGCAGAGGCCTATAAGAAAAGCAAGTCGTCAGAGAAACACGCTGCTTTAGTTACATTCTTCAGTGAATCAGCCAAGATTAAAATTCCTGCAATATGGTATAATAAAATATTTATTTTTGTATGGTTATCTGTCTCATAATATAATAATTATTAAAACGTTATAAATATTGATTATAATATATCTAAAGCTAAATAAAACTGAAAAGTAATATGTTTAAAATTGTATGAGGTCGGGTTTTTGTGATGGAGACAGTGGACAGACAAGCATAGGATTTACTTGATGAAAGGTGAAATCCCCAACTATATAACATCTTGATTAGATGACGAACTATTTTGGCTTTGGAATTAATTGTTATTTAAGGTTATTGCTGTTCCTCTATCAACAGTCTAATATGGTTTAATATTTTTATGCAAAAATATATCTGACCAGTATGTGGGTTCAACCTGGTCCGCCATAATTTACCTTTAAGTATGAGGTAAGATATGATAATTTTATTTTCAGTAAATACCTAAAACAACTTCTGAAGGAGTTTGAAGGAAAGTTCTTAGTTTTCGCCCACCACAAAAATGTTATAGACGCGATCTGTTTAACACTGGACGAAACCGGCGTCCACTACATTTGTATAGTGGGTTCCACTCCTGCGCATACCAGAGCTGTGAGTACGTTTTACTTAATGAAATAATAAGCTATTCTTGTGTTTAATGCCGTCTCTGACAACTTGAAGATAATTTAATCTTTCCAAAATAATGACCAAAAAAAAAAATTTAAAAAAAAAAAAAATTTTGGGGTTTTTTTAAAAAATTTTGGGGTTTTTTTTTTTTTTTTTTTTTTTTTTTTTTTTTTTTTTTTTTTTTTTTTTTTTTTTTTTTTTTGTAAAACAATAATCCGTATTTTGATATCTGGGAATTTGTATTTTCTGTTTCAAACATATACTTTCTATACCTAGCATATAAGATTATTTTGTAAACGTTTCCAAATTTACAGGATTTAGTCGATAAGTTCCAATACACGCCAAGTTGCCGCTGTGGAGTACTCTCCATAACAGCTGCTAGCTCCGGACTAACACTCACTGCTGCTGACCTAGTACTCTTTGCTGAGCTACACTGGAATCCTGGCGTAATAAATTAGACTCCATACTAAATCATAAGCACTGTGACGCCATTAAAAATGCTGGTCCTTTGAGCCGGAAAAACTCTATTTTAAGTCATTGTTTATATTAATGCATGTCTATATGTTGAAAAAGCATTGTTTTGTCTCTTTCAATTTAATTTTGAGATGATATTAATTTTATTTTGTAAGTCAAACTTAAAGACCTTTTATCATGTAAAGTATAACAATAATGTATATTGTGTTACAGTATATATGTATGTAATATTTTGATATATATACTTTTAGTTGTGCTTCAATGATAGAATTTTTGTAGCAAATTTTTTAGCCCTAATAATATTGTGTGTCTGATTTGACAGATTTTAACTCAAGCAGAATCGCGTGCGCATCGTTTGGGCAGACAAGGAGGCGTTTGCGCACGATACTTGCTTGCTCGGGGCACAGCCGATGACCATATGTGGCCAATGCTGCAGAACAAACTTAGCGTAACTATACTTACATTTGTTCAATTACATTTTGTAATTAATATTTATAAAATATACATATAATGTTTAAAATTATCAATAATTGATTTTAAAGGTAATTTTTTAATCAAAACTAATTTCTATATTTGCTATGATAATTCATATACTAGTGTTATACTAATTTCATTAATTTTCCCTAGGTGCTTAACAATGTCGGTCTTAGTAGGGACACTTTTGAAGATACTGCTATGAAACACCAGGTAACTTGGTAATCTTGATTAATGACTAGACTTCATAGAGAATTATTTACAGTAGCCCTTTTAAAATTATGAACTACACAATATTGTTAGCATCGATCCAAAACTATAGCTATGTCAAGGACTTTATATCGATTGGTCTTTAACAGTTTAAATCTTCACAGGAGAGCAGAAATAACATAATTCAATACTTATCACCGAAAATAAATAAAAACGACTACATACCAGGAACTAATATACGCAAAGATAGCTTAGCTCAAGAATCGAACAGAGACAGGCAGACAAACACAGTAGATCAATTTCTGCAGGACGAAGAAGGAGATGAACTTTTAGCCACAATGGATTTATAATACCTATCATTTAAGTTGTATCCATCACCTTTTTAAAATTGAATGAAAGAGATATAACAATACAAAATGCGGCATGAGCTTAACTTGTTTAGGTTTTGTCCCTGTGATACAATGTCATTTAATGTTAGTTTTTTAATAAATATACAATTTTAACTGACTTACCTAAAAGTCTGATTATATTTAAACTTAAGACTTAAGATTACTATAAAACGTTTCATGTAATTAAATAAATTATTTTTGTAAAAACTTTTATTCTTATAACACGATTTGAGATTAAAAGTAAACTTTCTACCAACAATAAGAAATCTCGAACTTAGCACTGACCACTATGAACGATAGCCAATTCTTCGCCAGCACAATTCATTATGCACTCATTCGCGTATGTGACTCCATTGGATGCGCAAACCGGGTCCCTTTCCTTTCCACACGTGCATCCGTCACCGCCTGCACCTTCCACAACCTCTACTGGTTTCGTCTCACACTCTCCTTCATGTAAGAGATCTAGGCTTTTACTTATACTTTGCTTCTTAGCGCAGTTGAGCATGCAAGGGTTTGGGTAGGTCAAACCGTTGGTGCCGCACATCGGGTTCAATTCAGCGGTGCAAGGGCAGATAGGGGCATCAGCAACATTAATATCTTCCCTCTTCGCCCTGCAAGTGCCTTCATGCTTCATTTCCACAGCGGATCGTTGTTGGGCGCATCTCAAAGAACATTTGTTGGGGTATGTATTTCCATCAGTTCCACAGATAGGTAAATATTCGAAGGTGCATACACAGATTGGAGCTTCCCGTTTCGGCCTGCATTCGCCCTTGTATGCGATGTCTACGTTGGCGTCTTGGCACCGCAGATCGCAGTCATTGGCGTATGTGAGCCCATCGGTTCCACAGACAGGGTCAAGTATCGCCGGACAAGGGCATAGACGTGGTTCTTGTCTTTTTAACCTCAATTGACAGTTTTCCATGGGTTCCAAAGTGATGTCAGGGTTTGATGCAGCGGCGCAATCGAGTTGACACTTGTTATTGTAAATAGCTCCATTCGAACCGCATACTGGCTTTTGTTCCCGGGTGCAGACGCAGGTGGGAAGTGCAATTACGGCTGATATACAACTCACGATAACGATGAATAGACCTAAAAAAGAAAAGGTATGCTTATTGTTATAGTCAATATTAATAAATAACATTTATAGGGTACAAGATTAAAGTCATATTGGTAGCGAATTTGATAGCATAGTACGAGTAATAAAATCATATCCTAAAAAATGATCTATTATTTATGTGTCACTACTTTTATGTAGAGATGTGAACCAGTCCTACGTTGCAGTGTAACTCATAGAAAGTATTGGTATCTGGGTGGATTTTTTTGTACCTATGTAGAAAGGTATTTTGACACAAAGTGTATATATAAATAAGTGCCTATAATATGTTGATTTAAAAGACTATTAACGGATGGATATCACGTAAGAAAAATGATATAAGTAAAAAACACTTTATTATCTTTAGAATATTTATTAACTTGTTAAGCATAAACGACAATTTTACTATAATAAGTGATAAATTATTATATTTCGACGAGAATAAAATAGCAATATAACTTTGTAAGAACAATTTAAGAAACCTCAAGCTTAGCATTGGCCACCATGAACGATTGATAACTGTTCGCCGGCACACTTCATAATGCACTCGTTCGCGTATGTGACTCCATTGGAAGCACAAACCGGGTTCTTTTCCTTCCCACACGCGCATGCCTGGACGCGCGCGCCTTTTTCAACCTCTGCTGACTTTCGCTCACACTCTCCTTCGTGTAAGAGATCTAGACTTTTACTTATACTTTGCTTCTTAGCGCAGTTGAGCATGCAAGGGTTTGGATATGTCAATCCGTTAGTACCACACATCGGGTTCAATTCAGCTGTGCAAGGGCAGATAGGAGCATCAGCAACGTTAATATCTTCTCTCTTCGACCTGCAAGTTCCTTCATGCTTGATTTCCACGGTGGATCTTTGTTGGGCGCATCTCAAAGAACATTTATTTGGGTATGTGTTACCATCAGTCCCACAGATGGGTTGGTACTCGAAAGTGCACGCACATATTGGCTCTTCCTCATCCCATTTGCATTTGCCTTCATATGCTACTTCTACTTTAGGATGTACGCAAATTAAGTTGCACATATTACTGTAGTCCTCCCCATCTGTACCGCACACAGGATCTTCATATAGTAGACATGGGGGGCATATTGGTAGCCCATCCATTTTGGACTTCAGTTCACAAAACTCCAAGTCTTTCAAGATGATTTCAGGGTTGGATTTTTTGCCACATTCGAAGAGACAGCTGTTATAGTAAATGACTCCATTGGAACCGCACACGGGTTTTTTGTTTCTTGGGCAGACACATGACGAAGAAGCCATTGTGGCTGATAGGCAGCTCACAATTGCAATAAATAGACCTAGAAAAATATACGGTTTAGTTTATCTCTTCATTAGCAATAATTATAGGTTGTATGTTATTACCGAAAACTATGTGTCAACCGTAAATACTCCTAATTCCTTACCAATTTAAAAAAAAAACCTTATTTGAAATAAAAACCTACAACAATAGGTACAACCTATTTATACAGATTTGTGTCTAGGCTTCTTTTGAATAAAATAAAGGTTTAAAGTTTAAATGCAATATGATATTAGTAAACGTTTTTATTATCTCCAATATGTATTTATAAAATAGAAAAACAATATAATATTATGGTAAGTATATACGACCTAGTCAGTACCGTGAATAAAACAATTTTTATTTGTTCAGTGGTTTGATGTAACCTTGAATTTAGCAAGGGCCATTATGAACAATAGACAACTCTTCGCCAGCACAATTCATTATGCACTCATTCGCGTATGTGACTCCATTGGATGCGCAAACCGGGTCCCTTTCCTTTCCACACGTGCATCCGTCACCGCCTGCATCTTCCACAACCTCTACTGGTTTCGTCTCACACTCTCCCTCGTGTAAGAGATCGAGACTTTTACTTATACTTTGCTTCTTAGCGCAGTTGAGCATGCAAGGGTTTGAATATGTCAATCCGTTAGTACCACACATCGGGTTCAATTCATCGGTACAGAGACAAATAGGGGCATCAGCAACGTTAATATCTTCCCTCTTCGTTCTGCAAGTGCCTTCGTGCTTCATTTCCACAGCGGATCGTTTTTGGGCACATCTCAAAGCACATTTATTTCCGTATGTGTTACCATCAGTTCCACAGATTGGTCGGTACTCTAATGTACAAATGCAGGCTGGTACTTCACGTTTCGACTTACATTTGCCTCTGTAGGCAACTTCTACACCGTATGTGCACTGGATAGTGCAAGAATTCATGTAAGTATTCCCATCTGTTCCGCAGACTGGATCTTGACCTGGGTAACATGGTGGGCATATGGGGGGCGCGTTTCGCTTTGGTCTAGTCTTGCAGTACTCCATATTGTATGATCTAGGTTGGAGATTCTCCAATCCAGTAACACTTGTTCTATAAACAACGCCATTGGAACCGCATACTGGTTTCCTGTTTCTTGTACAGACGCATGGGGAAGCTAATGTACTGATATACAGCTCATAATTAAGACGATTAAGCCTAAAAAGGAAAAAGCATAAATATTGATTGGATTCGTATAAGCGCTGTGGTCAGTGGGGTCAAGGTGAAATTTGTATGAATAAATAAATGTCGTTTAACCCTGGGTGTCCTGAACTTTTGGTTTGTCATCCCAAAATCCTAATATTGTTACACAATATTTACGATTAAGAACTGAGTGTTTAATAGTTTTACACTATTTTTTATTGGAATACCTATGTGACTATCACAGAAATACTAACCTATGTTTCTCTTACTTTCAAATATTCTTTACAATGCAAAAATTTCCCATTTGCACATATTCATATTATCATCATTGACAACTATGATTATAAGTGAAATACTATAAAAGTTTCATTATGAAAAAATGTTTAGTACTTACATACGAAATAAAAAATGGATCAACAATAAAGAAAATTATATAACATATTCTTGTGTTCAAGAACTAGATTATATGAACAATGAGACATTAATGGTAGACACATCAAAATAGGTACCTGGACAAGTAATAACAATAATCTAATAGTTTTCCTGTTAGCAGTTAAGTGCAAATATAATAAATTACACTATTGAATATGCTTAACGACCCGTTCCTATGTGCTATGCAAATATACAAACACAAACCTGACAAACGTTTATTTACCATATAAAGTATTTCGACGAATTTTGATTACAACAAAGGCAATTCTTGTGAGCTAATCAAAAAAGATAAGCATATACCGACGCCAACTTTTTTTAGGTATTTTAAAGAATAATAATTTTTTTGACATATCTGCAATTCCGCAACGGAAACCCTCAAAGATCAATTTTTCCTGTTTTTCCTGTTGGTCGAAGCCTGCAGAGTGCAGAGGTTTTATAGCCTTAAGCCTTCCTTGATTAATTGTCCGACCAACACAAAAATTATGTTTTGATTCGAACCGGTAGTTCGTGAGATAAGCGCATACAAAACAAATATGAATCTTCAGATTTATAATATGAGTGTAGATGTAAATAATAACACAGCCCGATAAAACAAAGTCAGTTTTTACTATGCTTACAAAAATCTGATTTTTCCACGACTCCGTTCCCTTTTTATTTACAGGGAAATTGATAATCACTAATTGTTCCCCCGGGATTTCAGGATCTGTCCCGATTACTGCAATACGTTATCTACTGAGCCTCGGAGGTGATCAACACTCCTGTGAGCAAAACAATTTTCCGTGTTTTTTTTCGGGTCAAAATTCTTTTTCTTCCAATCTTGGATGAACAAGTCAGATTTATTTATACATATTTCCTTTTGTAATTGCAGAAGCATTTTTGTACTACATCTGATTTTGCCACTATTTCTAATTTTTTGTTTTTGTTTCCTCAGTGGTCTGTTTGATTTTAGCCTTACAAAAAGGTATTTAAATTTTTTACTCAATAACCAATGTTGATCACCTTGGTTGTGTAAATGATATTGGCAAAAAACCATGCGTTATATAGATATATTTAGAAAATGTCGTTATCTATTTATCTGTCTTAATCTTAGATGGTATTTTTTACCTCTAATTTTTATGTATTATTTGTATATATATTATATGTATTGTGTGCGCCTTGTATGTAGTCGAATCATATTTCATAATTCACTTACTAAAATTTTTACTCTTTGTTGTTATGTTGCTTATAAAAAATAATTATAAATAAAAAACCTTAAAATTAAAATCTAAATGTAACACACAAAATTACCTAAGGTTTACTAGGTTACTTTTTGGAAATTGTAACTTGTACCGTGTATGATGTTTAGCTCTTTGTAAATTATGACATTTGTCCAATAAGTGATTTGCCCATTAATTAAAAATTGTCATTATTATATTTTTATGATAATCTTAACCCATATAAATACCTAAAAATATTTTAGGCACACTTGGTATTAGCCTCGACCTTAGCTTATGTTTACAATAAGTTATCAGCGTCCGCGGCGGCAAACCAAAACAAAAGCTACAAATTATGATAATATTCCGCGGTTAATATTATTATTTCACACCAAGAAATTAAAAGGATTCAGGGCAATCGCGGGAAACTTTTAATATTGTCTTGCGTGACAATGATATTATATAGTCCAGTAGTAACAATAACTTTTAGATTAGGAAATTTATTATTACAATCTTTAAAAATCACCAAAAGCTTAGGACAATGTTTAACTTTTAGTCTCAATTAATTCTTAAAGCTGTAAAGTGTGTTAAAACTCACTAAAAAGTAAGAGAGAGACCGTGGGTTCAAGACTCAAAATATGATTGTTATAGAATTATACGTAATACGTAAAACGCACCCAAGAACAGAAGTGGCACTTTTAATTAAAGGAATATCCTGTTTTTAACTTTCGACTCCAAGTTAAGTGATTACTTATAAAATAAATTATGTAAAAAAGAAATGCTCTCAATGGCTAGTAACTATAATATCTTATCAATACAAAAGAATATTATAATCATATTATGTTTACATCAAAATGTTCTCTTTATTAAAAGAACTGAAAATCCTATTTATCTTAAATATTATTCCAAATTATCATGTAATATATTTGAGTTTAACTCAGAACTAAGTTTAATATGTGTTTTAATCATGCAACTTACCTAATCGGAATCCCATTTTTAATATTAGACGTTACCCGTACGACACCTAGCGATAAACTGGTGAACACAAGCTTTTCGCACGTTTATATACTTATAAATCAATTATTTTCACGAGCGGGACTTGAAAATCCCTAAGATGCGTCACTGAGTTTTTGTTTTTGAATAAGTACGGCAAATTATGTTGCTAGCTCCGCCCCGCGGTTTACCGTTTATTTTTTCTCTAACGTCAGTCTGGGTTGTATCAAACGAGCCGTGCCGTAAGTTACGTTAATTAATTAGTTATTAAACCAGTCCAATATTCATTTCATTGTATAACATATCATTATGGTCCTAGATTCTAGTTTTTTTAGATTTTAGAAAAAAGATTTTAGTTTGATTAGATTTAGTTAGGCGCCATTTTTAATTTATACACATCCGCAAAGTTGTTGGAATTCCGTTGGAATTTTGTATGCATCTAGTTTTTAGTCAGTAATTTTTCTCTCATATATGTATATAATTCGCTATCGTCCACAAAAAGCCTTAACAAATTCTGCCCAATATTCTTAAGGATTAAACAAAAAGTATTTCTTTGGTAATATCAATCTTGCATATATTCTTCAAGTATCAACAAAATTTCACAAAAGTATTGATTTAAGAAAATTGACGTCAATTGTGGACGATAGGTTTTTTGCATATCGCTTGAGATTTCTTATCAAAGGATGTCGTTTTATCTAACTTTAATCAAGATCAATCGATTGGCCAAAATCATGCAGCAGTTGCATATCTAGTCTAAAATTAAGTTGACCCTACTCAAATTTAGTTATTTAAGTAATGTCAATATTATATAGAAAACTTAGAATAAAAAAAACACAAAAGCCTCCAACTTAATTTTTTGACTCACTAATCACTTGTAGTTGCTTTTATTATTGTGCAAAACCTATCAAAACGCATTCATCACGTTTCCATGTGGACTGTCCGCGGAGGTTTTGTTGTATTTTTATGGTACCTTAAATCACAACTAGTTCCATAGTTGTAATTTAATATACCATATCATTTATTATAATCTTCTCTCCCCTTTATTTATTATTAACGATGTCTTAACTATGTGCTAATTAGGCTTGTTTTTTCCTTAAACGTGACTTCAACATATAGTATAATATAGTTGACTAATATTCAAGAATGATTGATTAAGGGAGGTTTAAGGTACACGAAGTTACAGGTGGTTAGAAGAGTGTTTGTCTGTCACCGTTCACCTGTGTATTTTACATCTATACTAATATATAAAGCTGAAGAGTGTGTTTGTTTGAACGCGCTCATCTAAGGAACTACTGGTTTGAATTGAAAATGTTTGTGTCTGATAGAGAATTTATTGGGGAAGGCCATAGGCTATAAAACATTGCGCTGTGACTAATGGAAAAAGGAGCGAAGAAACGTGGAAAAACGGGGGAAATTTTTCATCTTTCCGGGTTCCCGCTGCGTCTATGTCTATCTTTTAAGATTGACTTGCAAGATGAAGAGGAGGTTTGCAAAAACATATTTTTGAATACCCAAAATAACTATTCTACGCGGACGGAGTAGCGGGACTCCAATTTAACTGAGAAAAGTATCGTCAAAGGCGCCTGTACACCTGTAAAATTTGATTATACTATAGGAACAATCTACATAAGTAGAGAGACTCAAATGCAGGATCCAAGCGTCTTATTCATATACAAACGTTTCGTGAACACGATGTAAATATTTACCAAAAGACATATAGAAACCTTGGTTGTATACATATACATACCTACATAGGTATAGGGAATATGGACAGTGAAAATTTTTATGGAATAACAATTATATAGTCCTTTAAGGAGAAATAACTAATATAAAAACTTTAAGGGTAACTTAATACAATTTTCACTAAGAACAATTTTACAATGGTATGCTATTTTTTCGTGACAAATTAGGATTTGTTTTTCTTGCTTAGTTGATGATAAAGCGTCGTAGTAATTAATTTTGTCGGCTCGAAACATCACCGGAAACATCACGAATAATACAAGGACGACAAAAGTATAAATTACCTCTGCGTAATTCATGACATCATCTCTTTGTCCACAAAAGCACCTCAGACTTGGTGCTAAGTAAGCAAGTTGAACCTTTTGTTGTTATGGTAACGAGTCTCGCTGGTGGACCTCACGATCTAATTCGGGGGACCAATGAAACTTACATTAACTTAATTAATTTTAATGTACTCAAAAAAGTTAGCAACAAGTGTAACAAAGATAAATAAATATTATAGACATGAATAACAAGAGCAAAGTAAGCTTTTTTTAGTTTTATATGAACACACTTTAGAAATTAAACAGCGTTAACGAATATGATTTATTATATAGTCTGTGACAGGTAAAACTTAACGCGCATTTACATCAGCGTGTGGACTGCAAATAATCCAAACTATTCCAGTATAATATTCTCGTAGGTAATTCCATGCAAATAAAGATATCCAACGCCTAAGTATGCGAGGATGCATAGTGACTCTGTGTGCTAATAGCAAACTGTCGCATGTGACAAAACACTCAAGTAAGTTCGTCCTTTGCGAAAACTAAACATAGCGGACCATACCTCGAAAAAGTTTTATTAAGTTCTCGTCGACGTTTATCACTTGCTCTATAGAAACTTTACATTATTTTTGTTTTATATAGTATCCTTGTATGAAAAACTAGTGACAAGATTCGTTATTTAAATCTTTTGTAAGATGGGACCCCTACCTACCAACCTACTTTTTTTCAAACGGAATATAGTAAAATTACTTTTTCACGTTACTTATACATATAGGCATATCTATTTCTTTAGCAAATTGCAGAAGGCCTTGCAACTTGTAAGGTCGTCATGGTAAAGTAATAGTAAATATTTTGTTTTGTTATATTTGCTATTTTCTAGAATCACAGATAAAACAAACTGAAGTAATTCCTTGTATTAATAAGGATTTTCCCACTGTACTGTTTGAAAACAATGTTAAGTATAATGACGACCGCCGCATCAGGTTCTGAGTTTGTATATCCTGAAACGTGATGAATTATTTATATCAGGCTGATAACAATATTTTTCTTTAATTTAATCTAAAAGTACGCATAGCTTTGCGTACAAAAACGTAACTTTTACGTACGGGGTAGGCAAACCAGTATTTTTCGGTTAATGAGAAACAGCAAAATAAAATATTTAAACAATAGCAAATAATGCCTTTTAAATGTTTTTCTTAATGATGTTATGGTAAATTATAGAGTGATATTATTTCTCTCAACAAGCGTAACTTCCTATTGGACACAATATTTGCTAATCATAGATTACGAAATGTAATTATATACCTAGTACGCTATTATAGCTGGCAATAGTAACTAAGTTCTAGGGAAGTGATAAGATATAGAAATGCGTTTCTAGGTAATGAAATTTTATTAGAACAGGGAAATAGTCGTGAAAAGTCCCGTTGCAAATACAAATACGTACTAATCTACAAAACAATGGGAATGACAAATTATTAGGATTTGTCATTTTATAAATAAGTGATCACTCATTCACTTTTACAATCAGATTTTACAATATGTCTGATTCCCTGATCAATTTTATAAACATTCAAGGACTTCTGTGTGTGGCCTGACCGGAATAATTTAATCTGTTATCTTGAAAGTCGAACCCACCACTTCTCGTCCTTGACAATAGTCTAACCATTGACCCAAGAAGGCAATATTCCAACAAAACGCACACAACAATAAACTTTCTCCAACTTCTATATATCTTGCTCATTATATGTTAAACATTGCTTTACAGTGCAATATTTATGAGTATGAAGTCTAAAAAAAGTACCTAAGTTTCAGCAGTTATAATACGTTTTCAACTAGGCTTATTTGATACTGTCTGTAGTTTACGCGAGTAGTACACATTTAAATAAAACACTTTTTTTTCACAAGGGTTTTAATTTGACGTCAGAGACATCCTCCATAGCTTTAGTCTCCCCGTGACCATGGCTGCTGCAAATGACATCCGAAACGTCGGAGCGTAGTTAAAAATAATTTTCAAACAAGTTTTACTAAAATATATCGTTACGTTAAAGTGTTTTATTTAAATAGGCCTATTTTAATAAACATTTAATGCAAGTATCAAAACGAAGCGTCTAAGTATCTTGCCTACGAACTTTTGTCTTCAAGGTTAATAATATATGTAGTTCTAATTGAGATTTTACACCGTTTAAACGAAGAATGTATAGTAGTAAGTTATATAACTCAAGGTCGTCTTGAATAAAACAGATGTACTTCACGTAAACACGTAAAGTTTTTAAGAATCTCTTATAATCTTATAAATTACATTGAACCAGATTACATAAAAGAAAAAAACACTTTTGTGCCTAAATCGGCATTCGCCCAGCCATAAAAAATGCCTTAGTTATTAACTTTAATTATAATAATATATATAAATATTATAAACGATTCTTCATTCTCACGTCAAGCCTAAATTAAATTTACGTGACAAAAATTTATTCAATAGAATAACAAATATCAGACGAAGATGCCGGCTGCATATTGTACTAGGGTTAGCATCCGTATTTTTAGAATTATTCGAATATACTTCGGATTATAATTTTATAATCGCATATTAATATCCGAAGGAAAGATTTAACAAAATGTATGTAGCTACGTAAGTATGATTATTAAGATATTAAATAAGTAGTATAATTTGATTCTAAAGTTTTACCGTTTCATAAACCCAGCCTAAAGATTCTCAGGACGCCGGTCGCTTGCTACTTGAGTATCTACGCGTGTTCCAGCTGACTCATTTTTAAATTTTATTATTACGGTCTATAAAGAGAAGTATGTAGGTATTACTAATAACATCTATTTAATGCTACAAGCAGAACCGGCGTTGTAACTACCGTAATGTCTTATCACGTAACTGTAACTGACCAAGTAATCCGTAGAACAACTTTGACAAAAAATATCCGAATATTCGGATAAATAACAAGCCCTAGCTAAAACGGATATGAAGCAATAAAAACAATAGTCTCTATATTGCCAATGAAGAGTGTTCAAGTGCTTCCACTTCAAGTATTGCAAATTACGATAAGATCTAGGCCAGGTTGACTTTTATTATCCTTAAGATAATTGCAACTATAAAAACCAGTAGAATACTTAAGTTGATCAAAAAGAAGTGCGCTACAGTTAACTCCTCACCATGGATAAAGTCGGTGAGTCAAACGTTATTTGTGTAAACTGGGTGTAAAGATAACTTGGCACTTTATATATTATGGGCTTGAAACAAAACAAAAAAAACTTTATTTTTCAAGAAAGAAGGCACCCTGGTGTGTTATGTACATATAGGTATATTTTACTTAAATTACTCATACTTGTCGTCAATGTTTAAATAAAAACGAGACTGTTTTTGTTTTAGCACATTTAATGTTCGTTTATTTGTATGCCAAATCACGTCTTGTTCTTCCGTTAAAGGAATTTCGAATAACAAATGATTATTAAACTACATTTATTAAAGTGTAAAATGACGTTAATTCCATTGTTAAGATAAACACTTAAATATTTGATCAAGGTAGGTAGTTAGTTTTACTAACTAAGCCGCCTCGATAACTTCAGTATCGACATATTAGTAGACCCAAACATAGTTTGTGATTATTTTAACAACTATTAAAACCTTTTGAAGATAGTACTTTTTTAATATTAAAAAAATGCAGAATCAAATGCGCGTTATGTACGGTAGGTACCTACCTATCTAAGTTACTGATATTTTTTTGCCATTTTGCGTATAAATAACATCTTGAATGTGTTATAGTCACGTTATTTTCTAAATTTTTTAATTATGACTTGCTAATATTTAATATCATTCTGTTACAATTTGGATTCGAACTAAAAATTGGTAGAGTTTTTACCCAACGTGCAATTAGCACGGGGTAAAAAAGTACCTAGGATTTCAAATCTGGTTGTACGCGTTTTCTTTTTACTTAAACAGTTATCATCCGGCGAATTTGATCTTTTGATGATAACATTTTTTTTCTAGTTACTACCCATTTTCTTGCTCAATTTTCCTTACCGGAAGTGAATTTATTTATAATTGGTTAATTACAGTATTCCTGCTGGCACTGCTACTAACAACGTGTGCTTGTTACACTATACAAGGCTACAATACTTTGATTGACTATCCAAAATGTCCTTGTGCCAAAATATTTTTGCCTGTGTGCGCTTCGGATGGGAGCAAACTGAACAATATGTGTGAATTTGAATGCTATCAGAAAACATTTGAAGGGCTATTTAATGTACCCTTAACTGTTTTGGACGACGACAGTTGCTTCGAAGATTAACAGACACTATTTTTATTTTAGTCTAAGGTGGGTGGATAAAATAATCTAATTACTGAATAATACGTAATTGATATTTTATAAGCTTCAGTCTGTTCAAAATCTTAGCAATTCTTGGTAATAAGTTATTCGAAAGTGCCTCTGAAGCGACTCTGTATTTTTGTTTTCCCGCGCAACTTTATCGCTAATATTCAGTCTATTGATAAAATCGCGTTCATAATTAAGGACTTTAGGTTCAATTACTAGATTGCTTATATTTTACTTTGAATTTTTTTTAATATTTTTCAGTTGTTCTGGCTATTTTAACTATTCTGGCTACACCGTGTTACGGTCAAATTTTGGATTGGCTTGAAAAGGAATGTGTCTGTACGTCAGAATACCAGCCTATATGTGCCACAGATATGGAGAGGTACAGGAATATTTGCACTTTTAATTGCAAAATACATTATATCAAAACTTATTCTCTACCTATGATTTCACCTGTGGATTGTAAGTTTTTACCACCAACATGGAACAAATAAGAAAACATTACTTTTTAATGTGTATTATTATCTATAGTAAAAAATAAACAAATACAAAAACGTTAACAAATAAATAAATATATTTTTTATATTATTCTGTGACAAAAACTGCAGTTATCCCTCACCCAATTAAGTAATTAAAAGCAACATAGAATTGCAAGTATTTATCTATAGTTTAGATTGCATTAATTCATCTAAAGTGAAGTTTTTCCTCATAAAGTCAACTTGGTAATTATTACCAGAAAGAAAACATTGTAAAAAGAAGTGAGTTATAAATCCTGTAATGCCCCATATTTTATATTTCCCATACAAATACACTGGTAGCATAGTATTTTCAAACTTTAAGTGTGCATGGTTTTTTGGTTCGCACAAAGCTGATAAAGGTACTGTAAAAATCTCTTGCACTTCATGTACACTTGGTACTAAAGTCTGCTGTTCAAAGTCATTTATAACACCAACTATTGGTGTAATTAACATCTCTTTATCACGACCCTGTAGTGATGACATAGGACACCACACGTCGATAACGTCTCGTGGCACCCCAATTTCCTCTTCCGTCTCTCTCAGAGCGGTTTCCACTGCGTCTTCTCCTTTATCCATCTTACCCCCCGGAAACGATACTTGGCCACCATGCGTCTTTAAATTGGACGCCCGCAGAGTATACAATAGATGTAATTGATCATCAATCACACAAATAGGCACTAAAACAGCAGCTCTCTGCTTCGGAGTTACATTTTCATGCACAAACTCGGGAAGTTCTCGTAAACAAGCTATACAACGCTCCCTAGCAGCAGCGGTTAAAAGTATTCTCGAGGAAAATGACATTTTTAGTTATACATAAAATGTTAATATTACATATTTGCCACAGTATCACGGTAACTGTACTTTGAAGTTTGGACTAATCATGATAATTGAATTTTTAAAAGATATCTAAACACTGTATTTATTAAAAAATATGACTTAGAGCTAAGAAGTAAGAGTAAATAACAAAGCCAAACTATTGTCAATTGTCAGGTGATTTGACAACTAACATATTACACAATACGACAGTATGTTAAAAATTAGTAAGTCAATGTTAAAATGTTATGAATAAATTCAATTTGCTTTTCTTTACCATTAATGCATATAAATTAAGTTTATATTTAAAGGTATTTTATTATAACTTAAATATAGTGTGGTTGCAATGATTGTATAGAGACTACGTTCATAAGAGATACGTATAATAAAAATTAATTCTCATTACACTAAGTAAACGGTATTATACTGTAAGCGAATCTGTATACTCAGTAGGTATATTAAAATACTTACTTATATAGTACTCTTTCCTTAAAAATTTAGCTTTGTAATCATCCTTAGAAAGACATCCTAAAAACCTATCTATACTAATATATAAAGCAAGGGTTTGTTTGTTTGAACGCGCTAATCTCAGGAAGTACGGATTCGAATTTCAAAAATTATTTTTGTGTTGATTAGAGCATTTATCGAGGAAGATTGTAGGCTATAACACATTGCGATGGACTAATAGGAGCGAAGAAGCAACGGGAAATGTAAAGGAAACGGGTGAAATTTTCATATCTGTGGGGTTCCGATGCGTACGCTGCGAAAACGGTTCAAGATACCCGAAAATATGTATGAAAGAATAATTCCTTTTTGAATATTCTAAAAAAAAGTCCGCGACACTATGTCTATCTTTGAAGATTAACTTGCAAGAACGACTGGATCCGAAGGATGGGTCGCGGGCGACGCGACGCGACCGATGTCGATGTTGATGTCAGATAGCAGTTTAAATTTATAAACACCAACTACAGGTGTAATCAGCAGCTCCTGATGTCCTCCTCGTAAACAAGCTATTGGACGCCACACATCAATTGCGTCATGACGGCACCCCAATGTCATTATCCGTCTCCCTCAACGCTCTCGTCCATTTTACCACCTGGAAACGTAATCCGGCCTCCACCAGTCTTTAATCAGGAAGAGCGTAAAGTGTATAATAAATGCACTTTATCGTTAATCACACAAAGCGGCACTAAGACGACAGCTTATTGCTTTGGAGTCACATTTTTAAAATATTAGGTTTCGCAAACACGTCATACAACTTTCGCGAACAGTAGATTTTAGAGGCCTTTGCAGAAAAAGACATTCAGACACTGAGATAAAAACTATTTTATTTTCAAGTATCTTATTCGACCTTTGGTCGAATCGATAATTATTGATATTGATATTGTATCGTCGATTAAAGATCGTTTATTATTATTGCTCAATGGACTTAAAGAAATATTTGAAGTAATACATAGGTAATATAGTTACAACTTCGATGTCACTTCGTTTAAAATTCGTGGTATTTTATTTAAACCGTTTAATGGTAAACGTCTAGTAGTGTGGCGGTCGTTTCGTTTTTCAGAAAATAAGGTTGACGGAACCTAATCTGTGGAAATTTTCCTTGTTATACATAATTATAAGACCTCTGTAGTATATTCCTTGGTTATCACCGGCTGAGAGTAACTTAGCGATATATTGTGTTAATTTGATATCTTCATTTATACCAACATTTTAATAAAATGTAACGTTAGTACACAATAATACGTAAATATCGTATATTGGCCTTTACCAAAGTCCAATATACGAGTATAATCAACAAAACCTCGTTCGCCATAAAATCATGAGTTGTAAACAATAGCTAATATATATGTGACGGCAATGTAATTTATTTTTTATTAATAAAATGAGCGCTCCTGTAATAGGATTTCATAACCTACTCTCTCTCGCCTCTCGTGAGCGATGCATGATCAATTTGAAGAAGTACCGAATACCATCATTTAAATCTAGGAATGTACCAATAGGCAGTGCTGCGGTTTTGATCCCTATGTGTCGTGTAAATGATGAAACAAGTTTGTTGTACACAGTGAGAGCTACGACACTTAATAGCCATAGCGGACAGGTTGCTTTCCCTGGAGGTAAAACTGAAAAGAGCGAGTCTCCTGTCGAAACAGCTCTCCGTGAAACTAAAGAAGAAATAGGATTGTGCCCTTCCAAGGTAGACATTTGGGGATGCGGTCCTGCATTTCCAGGAAAGAGGAACAAATTGATGATTACTCCTGTTATAGGATGTATATCTGACTTAAGTGCTGATGATTTCCAAATTAATGAAGAAGAAGTGAGTGAGGTATTTGCAGTGCCTATACACGTGTTGTGTGATGCTAAAAATCAGTTTCACACACAATTTAGTAATGGCTTTGTGCTTCCTGTGTTTGTTGCTGAAGAGTATAAAATTTGGGGTATCACGGCTTTTATGACACATGTATTTCTACGTTCTTTACTGCCTAGAGACATCTATAGAAATGAATGGATGAAGAAGAGAATTATTTTAGATGATACAGATTAATATTACAGATTTTTTAATTGTTATTTACAATAAACCAGGTTGTTAAGTTTGAAAAATTTATTAAAAGTTACAAAAGCTACATATCACATTAGCGTTTCGCATTATATCTATAAGCTCTTACAATCCTATAATAATGTTTGATAAGGAGTGGAAGTTTGGGTATATGGTAAAAAAAAGAACTTCAGGAAAAGGATAAAAAATGAAACTCAAATAAAAAAAAATAATATTTATCCAGGTTTATTCCTTACCTATTACATTATAATCTAGAATTAATATTTTATACATTGTCCAATTGACATGATCTTTTGCCCTTTTTCTTCATTCTAGGGTATTGTGTACTAAAAAGGTATTGGAGTCTGCTATATCCATTTATTATATTGTTTTATAACAAAAACATATAGCACAAATCTATTGTTTAACTAGGTGGTTTGATTTAAAGCCTTGCACTTAATCTAAATGTTTCCACAGATAAGTACTTACACCTTTAACAAGGTAACATTAAGGCAAGAGCGAAACATTGATAAGGCAGAGGTCTAAAAATGGCTATGAATCTTACAACTATGAAAAAATTCCACTTCCTATTCTATTATTGCATATACGATACAAAAATACGTCAGAGTAATTTCGTTGTGTCAATCTAATACTAATAAGTAAAATTGTCCAAACTTCGCGTTAGTGATAAATGTGAAATATTTCCACCTCTGCCCATTGTATAATATAAAATGTACACAGAAACCTCTCACTTAAATTTATGAAGATCTAATAAGTTATCAAAAAGTCGAAGTAACAAATATGTTAATTTTAAAATATAAGTGAGGGGCTGTGGGGTGGGATATCACAAAGTAAAATATGTATAAGGTAACCCATATATTAGAGAACTTAAGGGTTCCAGTGTGCAAGTATTGGCAAAATAGACCCAATTTCAACTTTACGCCAACTATACTGTTCGGTATCGCTAGATATCGTTCATTACTCTTCTGTGTTGTTTGAATCGTTGATGTCGACTGGAATTGACGTTGTAAAGGTGGGTGTCTCCAATTCTTCATGTTTCTTCATTTTAAGCGCCTTGAAAAATTAGATACAGAATTAAATATCCATTTTTTTTTGGGAAATTAACTTAATACATGGAAATAGGAAAAATATCTACATATTTAGCATTAAAAAAAAGAATTTGATGAATGAAAAAGTATTTCATTACAAAAAATTTCAAGTCTCAGAAAGTTTCAGACAAAAAATAAACAAAGTGGCAATTTGAAAAACAGAAGCAATAGGTGTTACAGGTATTTTAATGAAAAGGAAAACTGTACTCTTTAATCAGTAATATTGAATTTTATTATCAGGTGGAATTTATCTTATCAGCTCTGAACTTTTGGAATTTGGAGTTACATATGATAAAAATATCATAATTTTGTTAGGTTGTAAATAATTAAATTGAACCCTTAACCAAAGCAATAGTTTAATGTTAAAAATCTGGCAACTTCATGAAGCCATCAACTAACCAAGTTTGGCAGAAAGCTGGGAAAATTAATGTAAATATATTATTCTACAAATATATTTTTTAATTAATTATCTAAAATATTTAGTAAATTTTCAATCGAGGAATATGGTAGAAATATTAATACGGAATGATTAAGAAAAATTCATTCCATTCAATTTAAAACGCGCGCGCCATTTACAGTACAGACTGTCACATCACAGACAACAAAAAGCCATTTACATTGCACAGATTATGTAAACGTTAAGCGATTTTAGTATGGAGGTTTATCGTTTTTTAATATGAAATGACTATGTACACAGAGTGTGTTACATGGTTACGACACAATAACCCGTAACGTACCGGCGTAGGTGTTTCATCTTTTCGTTGCCGCGTCAGCGTTGGAGATAGTAAACCTTTTGTTGCTATCTGGATGAAGTGAGTAGGAAAAAAGAATATACGACATAATAGTACATAAACATAAATAGGCGCTGAGATATAAGAGTAGAAATATGTGGGAACGTCTGTGGAGATAACTTCTTTTGTAGGAATTACAGTCATTTCAGAAATAATACGTAAGATTAACATATAATTAGATCTAGAGAGAATCAGAATGGGTCAATATTCTTGAAATAAAAAGTGAATCTACTAAGTATTATCGCTTGTGATTTATAATTGATCTATTGTCCCGCTTTCGCAAAAAACACTTTTTGTGAAAACGAGATAACACAACAGTATCACGTTTGGGTGGAAATTTGTGCTAGAAATTACCTGCTGTAACTTGTAGTGGTTGATAATGTCTTGATCAGCGGGACAGCTCTGCGTGAACGCATCCAGTTGGTACATGTGGTACATGTAGCGCCACAGTGAACGGAAACTTGCCTATAACCAAAAAGGCTTGTAATACCGAAAAGATGTGAATAGTAGACATGATAAAAATATATAGTAAATAAATAAAATTGTTGTTTTTAATTCATTATTACAAATAGTTATACATACATAGATTTCTAGGGTTGGGTTTTATTCAGTGACTTCATCTATAATAATTTTATTACGAAGCCCAAGTGTACATACGGGTATCTCAAAATCGACGAAATATTTTCCAGCGACACGGATGTGTTGCAGACGTGGCATCAGCTCGCAGTCGAAACAGCACATTGTGTCACCCGTCAGGAACCTGCAAATACATATTAAATATTTTTTATCCCCGTTTGTAATCATTTTGATGAAAGACTGGCCTAGGACCCAATTCTACTGTTAATAATGGCATTTAGGTTTTCTATCAATTGACCTTTTGTACTATTCGGCGTGTTCCTTGTATGTCCTAGTTGTTATACCGGACTCTTTTGATAATTACCTTGTGCCTCTGCGCTCGAGTAGACCATCGATGCGGCTAAGGTGCGCGCGCAACGCCGCCGACTTCTGCTCGTCTTTGCGTACCAAAACTAACTTCAACTTGGAGTACAGGTTTTCGATCAGAGATGCTACTTCTTTGTCCTGGAAACAGACAAGTTCTAATTAACGTTCATGATATAAATTCCTTTACTTATTATCATACACTCATGACTACTTGTAGCCTCACTAGAAGTAACTATTAATAAAAGTACGGTATACGAAATATAATCAAATGCTTCATAATTAAAACAATTAAACTAATGGGCCTTCCGTTGTGAAGCTAGGCTTAATTTTCACGACATAGCTTTGTGTGGCGTTTATTGGTATAAACATGACATTATACACTGTATTATGTAATTATTTAAAATCTCGCAAACGTATTAACGGTTTAATGTTTTTTCTGAGATTTTTGGTTGGTATTAGAATAAATTTCTTGACTTTATAATACCTATGATTTTCACAACCGAAATATAATTTTTGTGTTAATAACAAGTTATCATCATCAATCAATCATTACTTTCAATTTATGCCTTCAAAGCCTTACCTGAACGAATAGATTGTGACCACCCGGAACGGACTTCATGATGTGCCGTTCGATCTTCTCATTTTCGAGGATAGCAAGGCCGTTGTCTATCAGTATCGGCGGATGTGTCGCCTCGAAGTTGGTGCGGAAGTCAGGAGGCGGCTTTTGCATGTCCACTGTTGTTACCTGGAAGATTGGATATTCTATTTTGAGGCACCGACAGATATTGAATAGATATATTGCGTTTAGGTGTTAACATCAAAATATTTAAATTTGAATATTGAGTACTGATATCAGGGGACAACCACGATTGTCGCTGCAATTAGCCCAACCAATAAGGTGTGTGTCAAATCCCGTTTCCCCCTCGTGGGGCATGGGGAGAACATATTTCTGTGTCCAGATTTCTGTGCCCTGCCTGACCGAAACAATTTTTTGTTTCCATGGGATTCGAACACAGGGCCTCCCGCTCTTAACGCAATGTTAGGCAATACGTTTAACCATTTGGGTACAGAGGCGGTCCAACAAATAAGGTGTGATAACGGAATCTCTATATATAAAAATTTTAGACGAATTAAAATACATTTCCTTCTAAGAAAAAATGCTTATCATCATAGTATATTAAAACAGGACAACTCAAACAACGTTATTTTGTAATTACAACAATAATTTACAAATATGCTTTCCTTAAAAGAACCCTGGATTAACGAAGATTATCTACCTGAGACACGGGATAAATATTCTAAACGCTATAAATAGTACCCACGCAAATATTTTTATGATACTAATAGGCGGCATTGCACTTGACCGCCAACGTCGGAAGTGAGGGCCAAGACTACCCGTTATTACAATATATTGATTTTTTCTTTAAGTCTCTTAGTTATAAATAGGACTTTAATCTAAATTTATCAAGTTATTTATTTTATACTAAATGAGTTAAGTTCGGGTAAGGGATTGACCGACTTGGATTTAGACTTAGATGTTAGGACATTCACAGTCACAAAAAACAATCCGTTAAGAATGAGACTATGTTAATTAATCACCTATGTCTTGCTAGATGGAAAAGGTGAAGGATTTGTTCATAATATTAAATTGTACAGACAATGAATATCTCTTATTTATTCCATATATACTAAGATTACGTTTTCTTACCTTTAAACTGATTGTTTTGAGTTCTGCTAGTAAGTACAAGTCCATGAAGTATTCCTGGCAAAACAGGCAGGCACCCTTTCGTCTACCGTCTATTGTTGAAGCCTGAAATTATAATTTTAATGTTTAAGAAAACGTAATAATCGTAGGATCGGTTAATTAATTTTACAGATAAATGAAAAACAAACATAAGATAAGTTAATTGTTTAATGTGTCGACGTATTATTTTTATTTTTAAGTCGTGTTGTTTGGAATGAATAATTAGAAGTATTTTTTAAGAAACTACTCTCGTCCACATACAAGTTGTATTGGATTTTTATTCGCAGGCAAAGACATGTAAAAACTCTTATATAGTCAACATTGCATAAGGAGTTTGAAGAAATTTTAATCCAACGAAATCGCTTCCTTAATTGCTTAAAACAGATTCAGATAATCGTGTTGATCTACTTTTAAGCGTTAAATTCCGAAAATTTAAACTCAATTAAACTCGAATTGCGTTTTAATTACGATATAGCTACAAGCTCATTTATACTCAACTCATAAGTGGACGAAATGTACAAATATAACTTGATATTTTAATGAGAGGAAGTGCATATACGAAATTATCACTCAAAACGATTAAAAGAACGTACCGCATGTTATTACTGTGGTATCTATAACGTTGGGTTTAATTAGGTTTTAATATACAAAAACTACCGTAGTTTTGGTTACTCAAAATCGTTTATTAAAAGGTCATATGGCATTAGGTTTCGTTAATCTATACCAATATATAAAGCTGAAGAGGTTGTTTGTATGTTTGAACGGGCTACTCTCAGGAAGTACTGGTTCGAATTGTAAAATTATTTTTGTATTAGGACATTTATCGAGGAAGGCTTTAGGCTATAGCATCGCGCTGTGACTAATGGGAGCGAAGAAAGAGCAGGAAAAGTGGAGAAGACGGGAAAAAATATTCATCTTTGTAGGTTTCCGATGCGTACGCTGCGAAAACGGTAGAAGATGTCTAAAAATGTATGAAAAAAAAATGATTCCTCGTTAAATGATCTAAAAGAAAATATAAGTCTATCTTTTAGCTTTTAGCGAACGATTTCGTGGGTAAAAGCTTAAATTTATTTAAATAAAGAGGAGGCTCGCTATAACCAATTTGGATGCCCAAAATTACTATTCTACGCGGACGAAGTCGCAGACAGAGCTAAAATAATTATTCTCCCCCTATTTAGTGAAAGCCATAAAGCACAATGTAGTCTTACATCTCTTTTTAATTGCACTCAATAGACAGAGACGTCTTGTATATGAATCAGTCAGACACGTCCTACAACTTTTACCCTTTTTAGCTTTCCTTCGAATGCCTTGATAGAAAACGACAGCTCAACCGGTACATTACATACGACCACATTACAGCATCACTTCCTATACGATACTTTTTTATTCAACGTGCCATTCGTTGCGAAAGGGAATTATGTTATTCGATTTATCTCTATACTTATCTGTACAGCTAAAAATCTTGGCTAAACTAGCGAATGTCGGTAAGTAAAAAAGGCACATTTTCGTGGTTATTTTACTAATTGATGTATATAGTGTCAAGTTACATGAACAACTAGAAATTACTACATATATTCGTCTGGTTTGAACTCGGGACCTCTTCCACACAAGCTGATAAAACCTGGTCTCAGCTAGTAAGTATATTTTAATAAATTAGTTCGCTAAAACTAGCCAGTGGGCCAAACCCATCGCAAACTTAAACAATAAGACGCTGAGTAATGTACGAACTGTAAAAGGTATTCTCGTGTTTAGCTTAAGCATCGCCCGTGTGTTCTTTGTGCGGCTATGACTCATGAGGTTCCCTATTCGAGGTCAAAGGGTCTTCTGCCGACGAACTTTCTAGCTTGTGAAATGTGTGAACGTCACTTATGCTAATATGTTGACTTATCTTGCCTAAGACAAAATTTCACCGGGAAATAATGTCAACGCCATCATTCCTTAATGTTACGGCTTCCAATGGCTCTATTTATAATTATTTTTATATAATTTGTCAATGTATAATTTGTCATCAACGTTATAACATTTTAGCGAGATTTAATCATAGTTTTTTTACATGTCTGTTACCGATTATTCAGACATTGAATATTATATATTTGCATCGCTGTACAAACCTTCCTACATATTATGACGTTGATCAGTTACATTAGGAAACATAATCCTTAGGTTACATACATTTAATATAAAGTATATAAAGCGCAGTAAGTTGATCGAGTTCAAAATGAGTTGCGCAATTTTTAAACATGTCCGTTGAATGTAGTTGTAGCATCACGCATTAAGACTCAAGCTGTAGCCAGTAAGGACTTTTTAAACGCGTACGCTACAATAAACTAACTGTTTCTTAACTTTTATTGGAATACAATTGTCCAAATTATGGCATATAGAATACGGTATATGTGAAGGTATAGTAGGAGATTAACATATAGTTATTATATCTATACACTCGTGCACAACTTACATATTAAGATTTGATGCTTATAATAATTCGTAATATCAATGAAATATCAATATAATGGAATACGGTAATTTGAAGCCGACCGAACGGTAGTTTGAAATAGTCTGTTGTGGTTAGTGCTAAGCCTAGTTATTGATTTCAGAAAATCGGCGGGTAGTTTCAATCAATACTTGAAGCAGATTTGCGGGCGAAAGCTGGCACATTCAGGTGGTAAATTCTAGAAAACAAAGGCGTTTTACAAACATTTTCTCCGCGTAACGTCGTCGTTATGGTCAAATGGACACGCTCCATAATCACAGAGAGCTAACGATACAATTGACAAATTGCCGAAGGCTGCAAGTACCCGTTTTCTCTATTCTAATACGCGTATTACTTGTATACGTTTGAATGTTATTGTTTTCATTAGCATACGTTATGCTAGACGCGACTGGTTTGACAGTGCACGGAGCTACACGATCGTTAACTTGGAGAGCTGCAGCTGAAGGAAAATAAATAGAATCGATATGACTAGGATACGGTATAGAATATGACATACAAGCTGCATTTAATTAAGAAGGAAATCTTTTAAATACTGCCTTTATTTTTCCCAAGAAAAAAAACCATTTAAATAAGACAGTTAACTAAAAAGCTGCATTTAATTAAGAAGGGTTAAAAATCATCTTCAAATAAGTTTACTAAATCGTAACCGTTAAAGTGTTTTTAAAGGAAATCTTTTTTAATTTTTTTTTTTTTTTAAGTTTTACTTATAAAAATCAGTTTAAACATATTGAAGCCAAGTTTTATAAGTTTTAAATTGTAGTTTGAGATTATATAAGTGACAGATTATTGCCACAAAATTCAGGCATTTCATAATAGGTCTTCTGCTTTAAGTGCTTCTTAAATATGCATATTCATAGAATTCTAATGCATATACATTAAATAGTAGAACATTAAGACGTCAATTCTCACTTGTTTCTCTTTAATTTACACGTCTAATTAGTATAAAGCTAGAAATGAAAAGTGCAAATTAAATTATCAAGTATTACTACGGCAATGGTACGTACGTACGTAATTAACCTTTTTAATACATTTATAGTAGTTATTTTAACGGGTTGAAACGCGAACTGTATTAATAAGTGAATTGAAGCACCTACCACCTGATACATTTATGGGTGATTTTTGGCAGCAATAGGAAGGCTTGAAACACGATTTTTTAAAACATCCTTTTTAGACAGTTTAATATAATTTTATTTAAAATGTATACTTCATTTTGTATACTATCTAATTTAGTCCATCCAGTATTACGATATGCTTATTTTTTCGATAAAGTTCTACTACGCTACGATGGCAAATTCTTATTTACAGGGCTACAACAATGAGCTCGAAGTTACAAAAATGATGAATACCGTGGTTTCACTAACATCAATGAGTCTGAATAGAAACCAAGACCAATAGTGCGTGTCGCGCCTACATAGACGCGAAACGTGATGTTACTGAATTCACAATTAGAAAACTGCCTTTAGACAATTGGCGGTGACACGAAATGTTGACGTCTCCCATTTGCATGGTGCACGCGTTGGGGGCAAACCCCAAGTACTATCGATAAAATTAGGCCTCCGTTTTATAATGAAAAATAATTTTCCATTTACCAGTGAAATCTACCATCCCTTTAGTATAGATCTATAATAAATGAATTTATTTTTAACCGCAGAATCGGTTAAAAACAACAGCAAGAAAATAAGAATTAGATGGTTACTATTAAATTATTACTTTTTTTGTTTGTAAAATCGAATGGTACCAACTTCGAATAAAAAGATCCGTTACTCAGCGCTAGCATAAATCGCTGGTTATAAACCACGCATAATTCAAGCGAACGTTCAGAGAGATTGATTTATCCGCACATTACCGTCGAATTGGATTACGCGAATTTTCATAACGAATAATATAGCTCTATAAATCTCAGCGACGCACGCGCATGCCGATAAACAATTCGCGGTTAACGATGATATCGTGTGAGGAGAAGACGGGGAAGTAACGAGGCGGCAATAGAACCATAGATCACGCTTCTAAACAGGCTATTGGCACATTTATTCGCCAGCAACCTTTAAAATGTTTTTTTTTTTACTTTTTGTCAAATCACCGTGTTGTACCAAAAAAATCCCATGACGTCATAATATGATATATAGCGTGGTAGATAGATCCTACTGCATCGCTATCTTTAAACCATGGTGGCTGCAAAAGCAATTTCTAATATTGTCAGGCGGATCGATTTGCGATTCCAAGAGGTTCATGGACTAATTTTGCCTGCCTTGTTTGAGTATTTTATTATAATTATAAACTGATCTCTTTTGCATAAAACACTTTAACGGCGTAAAACGCGATATATCTTAATTAAACTTGTTTGAAAATTATTTTGAACTTCGGCCAGACGTTCCGGATGCTTTGCAGCAGCCGTGGTCACGGGGAGATTTTTAAAGTGTTGTGTGTAAACTACAGACAGCACTAATCTCCTCTCAATATCCCAATTACGATAATATGAGGCACAAAAGCACCGAGGCGTGGCAAACAAGCAGCCGAGTCAACGACACCACCCGAACATGCGGCCACTTTCAGTTTCGTGAAAATGAAAGCACAT